CTCTTTCACACTCTATCACAATCTCGCTCTCTCTCTCTCTCTCTCTCTCTCTCTCTCTCGCTCTCTCTCTCGCTCTCTCTTTTTTTTACATTTCTTCATTGCAAGCTATTTTTACCATTTTTCATTTTCATCTGGAAACATCAAAGGTACCCTCTAAGCAATGTCACGCCGTAATTTTCGCAAGTGCAAAGTTTGCGGGGGAGATTTGCCCCCCCCCCGTTTCGGCTCAACTTTTTCCAATTTCACTAAACCCGCCTCCGGCCACCCATGAATCCGCGGTTGATATTTCGTCCCTGTCTACCGGCAAAATCTCCGGCTTTTCACGTAGTCGATTTAGGGCGTAGTGGCCAGCTTAAAAACATTTTTTAATCTTTATGACGAAAAAGATATCTTGGATTTTATATTTTACCTATTTTTTAGAGCCATTTATTTTAAATTTTGTAAAAATAGAGTCACAGGAAGTTAAGCTAAATTTCTGCGTTTCTGTAAAACTTGTCTACCAGGAATGACCTGCTTTCATTTAGTTAATCTTGATTCTATTTTGTAGATAATATGAAAAAACTCATAATTTTTAGGAATCGGTTTGTTTAAAATTAACGTAAACCAGATTAAATTTTATAAAGACTTATTATTTTCATTCCTGTCTGCCAGCAAAATCTGCAACTTTTCACGTAGCGAATTTGGGCTCCAGTGGTCAGCTTAATCCGCTTTCTTCAGTGGAAATGACGCATAAGAACGAAATTCCATAATTTTCCCTCTAGGGGATTGTCAATTTGAGCGAATGTCTAGCCGGGGACAGATTTGGCAGGATCAAGTTGGGATGTAGGCTTGATTGTAGCAATTTTGCAATGCTGATGCTGGCATTAGGATTCTTTGATTTTGCAGGGCTTGGGCTTGGTAAGTTTAATTCAGTTGTAAAGATTGAACTAAGTAAATTTCCAACAATTAAATTTCCTTTTGTAAAAATAGGGTATTTGGGTATGCAAATATTTTTGAATTTCGTTTTTCTTTGAACAGTTTCGGGGTAAAATGCTAGAACAATTAACTTGAATGTTTTAGAAATTCAAAACTACAAACTGGTAAAAAATAGATGCTTAAAATTGGTTAAATTCGTGCTAAAGTTACGAAATTCAAATTTCCAGGCTCTGCAGAAATTTTCCAAAGCTAAAATCCCATGTTTCAAATCGATCTCTCGACCCAAAAGTTGATCTTGTGGAACCTAACAAGCTCGAGAATCAGCTGTTTAGGAAAAGTACGTCACGCTATTTTGATCATCACCCTATTTTGATCGTAATGACGTATTCAAGCGGAATTCCCCCTCGGGAAATCGCCGAAGAACCGTCTAGCCACGAAAAATTAGCTTTGTTCGGTCTTTTGAGTTTGTAGGGTGCAATGTCCAGCCCAAATCGCAAGTTTTCACTTTTCCTCTGCCCCAATTCAGATCCCTGAAATCGAATCAGCCACCCGAAAACTTAAAATCAAAAAATCGCTGGCACTAATTTGGAATACCCCCGGGTATATGGCCACGAGTTTAGAAAAAAAGCCGGAAAAAATTGGGTTTTGGAATACTTTTTTTGGGGGTCCAGATCGCGTGACCAGCCCATTATCAAGGAAAATCTCTACTACGGTACTACGGTCACTTTTTCGGGGGCACGCCCAGTTTTTGACCCGTCGAGCCTGTGGGATTCTAGGCATATTCAGAAACTTTCGGGTTTGTGACGCACGGCTTTTCGTGGCTGGAGCATTGGATAATTTTGAGGTAAATTTTCTAAACTACCGTATCCTCTGATGCTCGAAAATTGCATTTTTTTGCTGACACACTCGCTTTAATGCTAACTTTTGCATCGACGGCCTTTTTTCTTTTCCTCAAAAACTAGCGTCTTAAAGTTATTATTTTGAATCATTATGCATTGCTAATATCCGCCAAAACACAAAAAAAAGGAATTATTCTAAACGATTCTGAAAACGTAAACTATTAGCGATTCTCGGCGACGTCAAGCTATCAAATGAAAGAATTTCGTGCAATATATTTTGGGAAATAGCTGCAGAGCGATAAACATTTTATAACTAAAGAACTCTGTTTAGTGTATTACCTATTTTGGAATTAATGGGCGGTTTCAGACTCGAAATTCGGCACGCATTGTCGGGTTTTTTAAAGGTAACGTAAAAATAACGTTTGTCTGACAATTTTTTGTAAGACAATTTTTTGTCTTGTTAGTTGGGGATTCTCTCTATTTCTCTCGCGCGCGCTCTCTCTCTCTCTCTCTCTCTCTCTCTCTCTCTCTCTCTTTTTTTTTGCTACAGTTTTTCAATGTTTTTGTTTGGTTTTCTCAGGTGTCTTTTCATGCAAAATTAACTTAATACAGAATTTTCAGATATATCCAATATCATCAATTATGCGGTTGAATTTGGAAAGTATTCTTCTAATTTTCTTCATTCTATTCGTAATCCCGTCATCGGCCTTCCCCCGACCTCGACGACACCGAAATTCAAATGACTTTCTTTTCATCGGCCGCGCACGAGTTCCCGGTAAATTGTTGCTTATTTTTAGAAATCATGTTTTTCTATTTTATTTTCTTGTCTGGGGCTATTTTTTTTAATCTATTTTTATCCCGCGTTTTTAAAAACATGACAAATGCCCAGATCAAAGCCCGCGGTTCTGAAAAGTCCCCCATAATCTCAAAAAATTGCACAAATTCGCCATGGTCGGAGCCGATTTTGTCTGAGCCGGAGCGTGTTGTTTTGAAATCTCGATTTTTGCACAAAAATAGCTGGAAAATTGTTTTTGCGTTTTTTGTACCGTACCAGGTCCCAAGGCTGACTCTTGCTTGAAAATACCGCTTAGAAAGTGTCACGAAAAAATCTTTGGATACGAAAATTTCAACGCAGTTTCTTATAATAATAATAATAATTTATTCAACACTAACAAGGGAACCACAAGTTGGCACGGTGGAATTTCGAAAAACGCTCGCGGCTACCCCTAGGTTTTCGACGACGGCGATTCCAACGAGCTTGTCTGAATTAGCTAAATCGACCTGTGGACAGAGATACAGCACTTCCGGAAAATGGTCAATTTACATTCGGAGGAATTAGCATTCACCTCAGGGTTTATGAGGGCTTCCCATCTCAGAAGAATTACCAGTTGAATGGCTGGGTGGTAAGCGGCTAGCTTGTTAGGATACTGACCAGGGTTCGAATCCGTTCACGACTTTTTTGTTTTGCTTTTTGGACGGAAGTTTCGATTTTTTTCACATAGTAAAGCTTTTAGTCGTTGGTGATGAGGCCGATTCCTGCAAAAACTTTTTGAAATTGCATCTTTCATGCGACGGCCCCTTTCAAACGAACGAGTAGCTTTTAAGAAGCTTGTAGTTTTGCTCAAAGTTCCGTCCAAAACGCAAAACAAAAAAGTCGTGAACGGATTCGAACCCTGGTCAGTATCCTAACAAGCTAGCCGCTTACCACCCAGCCATTCAACTGGTGATTCTTCTGACAAGGAGACGTTTTTAGGTGGGCACGGAGTTTCGGAACGGGACCTAGCCTATCTTGTGCAGAATTTTTTGCTGATTAAAACATATTTTGTAGAATTTGCGAAACGACCGGAAAACCAAAGTTATGAGGGTTTAAAGTGTGAAAAAGGCCCAAAATGGCTACTTTGGACCTATAAAATATAGCAGAATAAGTTTCCACGAAAACGAATTAGTGCATCTTGCTTAGAAAATTACGCTCTTTTGAATCAGCCATCTAATGAAACAAGTTCGAACATTTTTTCAAAAAGATTAATTTAGACGACATGGTCCCCCATGTGAAATTTCAGCAATTTGCCGAAATTTTGAAATTTCCGGTGACTAGCTCATTCGAAAGAGCGTAATTTTTTGAGCAAGATGATTTGTTTTCGTGGAAACTTATCTGCTTATTTATAGGTGCCGAAAGTAGGCGTTTTGGGCCTTTTTCCTTTCCCTCATAACTTTGGTTTTCCGGTCGTTTCGCAAATTCTACAAAGTACGTTTTAATCAGCAAAAAATTCTGCACAAGATAGGCTAGGTCCCGTTCCGAAACTCCGTGCCAACCTAAAAACGTCTCCTTGAGATGGGAAGCCCTCATAAACCCTGAGGTGAATGCTAATTCCTCCGAATGTAAATTGACCATTTTCCGGAAGTGCTGTATCTCTGTCCACAGGTCGATTTAGCTAATTCAGACAAGCTCGTTGGAATCGCCGTCGTCGAAAACCTAGGGGTAGCCGCGAGCGTTTTTCGAAATTCCACCGTGCCAACTTGTGGTTGCCTTGTAAGGTTCCAATGAGAAACGCTTAAGAGCATAAAAAAACATGTAGAATCTTAAAAAAAGGTAAAAGTAACACCTTTTTCAGCATCTCGATTTCATGAGGCGAGTTATAATGAGGAGCCCAGATCGCAGAAAACGACAAGAGGAATCTCAGAAGCGCAGCAGGAAGAGGAACGCAGCTTCTTTGATCACTACTTTGGAGCGGTCCGGCGGACGTGGCCGTTTTCACATCTGTGATGTTGTTAATTCAATTTTATATTGCCGGGAATAGGTGCTAATAAATTATTTTTGATTGTAAGGAAAGCATGTAAATCGCAGTTGTCACTCTCTCCCTCTCTATCTCTCGCTGTCTCTCTGATTGTCTCTCTCTCTCTCTTTCTTGCTCTCTCTCGCTCGTTCGCTGTCACTCTCCTAACTCTCGCTCTCTTTCTCTTGCTCTCTCTCTCTCGCTCTGGCTCTCTCTCTCCCTAACTCTCGCTCTCTTTCTCTATCTCTCTCTCGCTCTCACTCCCTCTCGCTATCTCGCTCTTTCTCGCTCTGGCTCACTCTCTCTCTATCGAACTCGAACTCAAACTCGAGCTCAAATTCAATCTCGACGTCAAACTCGAATCCGGACGTGGCAATTTTCCGGAAAGGGTTTTTATTCGTACGTAGTAGTGGTACCTCGCACTCCAAAAACGTATTTATTCCGATCTTCAAATATCTGGGAAATCTTTTCATCCTTGGTGTCTCTTCTCCGGAATGTCGTTTCCGCCATTTGCACACGAAGAATGCTCACGGATATGCCGATACGAGCACATGTTGACGCAACAATCATTGGCCAGTCCAGTGTCGGCCAGGGCTGCCGGCGGCGCACCGGCACCGCAAACCTATGTATATATAGCATTTTAAAGGGGCTAGGCAGCCAAAATTCGCGGGTTCGGGCCGAAAAGCATCCCAAATTTGTTTCGTTTCAAAAAAGGCCAAATATGTGAGGGAAAGAAATCGAGACGAAATCGTATTTTTCCGGGTTCTGGAATGGGATTTTTAGCAAGGCAGTTTTCCACCTATACCTGCCTACCTGATCGGGATATATTGTGTATTTTTGTAGTGCTGTTAGTCATTTTTCATTGCTGGAAAGTTAAGAATGGTTTTTAAGATTTTGAAAATTCGAAAATTTGAGATTTTGTTGGAATTTTCATACATTTTGACCAAAAAGTCAAAATTTTTCGAAACTTTTATTAGTTTTCATATCTGAAAACTATGTAAAATGCTATAAAAACTATTCAGATTCTTGTTATGGAGCCGAAGAGAAACACAGGGAAAATTTGGTTCCCCCGCTAACAGAACAGAACCGGCATTTTCTGTCGTACTGCCCGGTAAGGCGCCCATGCTTGGAACTTGATCATTCACAGGCCAATTTTGAGAATCGAAAAGCCAACATGATCAAAATCCTGTGTTGATTCCAGAAATTACATCAGAATTCTTCACTGCACGCCTTTTCCAGGTTCAGATAGGGACTAGACAACACAACCAAAAAAGCGTTGCGGCTCGACCCCTCTCGAGCTCATTTTGGGCCCTCACCGTATTAACGGCTGCCGGAAGCTGGGTACCGCAGAATCGGCGTTTCGTGTCCCACCAGTCCGCATCGTGAGTATCTCCAGGAAGCCGAGGATTGCTGTGGAGGCACGATTTGGCTTCGGCATTCGGAGCCAAGCAAGCCAAGCCGGCTAGGAGTACCAGTGGGAGTAGGAACTTCATAGTGTCGTTTTGTATTCCGAATGACTTTACAAAGGGCACTTTAGCTTTATATAGGTTCTACGGTTCGAAGATCTCACAGAATATTAGCACATTGTTTTCGAGGCTCCTGCTCGATTTATGCGTTACATTAAACATTTTCATAAAGCGGACGGGGTGTTTTGGCAAAAAAAACGTGGACTAGAATGTAGCTTTTCGGAAACTAACCTTTTTGGCGACGCGTTACAGTAACGCTCAAAAAGTTATCGGGCCGGGAAAGCGTCTGTATCTCGAAAGTCCCACCCCGTAAATTTTGTGCAAATTTCCTTCTAGGTCAATTATCCAACGGGGAATTCGATGTAGATATCAAAATCCCGTGAATCCTTCAGTTTAGTTGTTAAATTGGCAGTTTTAACTATCAAAATTGAAAGAACTCTTCAAAAAATTGCCTTGATACAGATCTCATGTCAGCTTTTCCGAGAGCTGTCGATCGGACGCTTCTGCGGCTTTGATGCCACCCACCGTAATACACGTAAATTTATAAGCAACACACGCGTGTTTTTGCGTAGCGTACTGGGATGAATTTCTAGCACCTTCCGCTCAAACATAAGCGCGCGTACGTTTGTTTTGGTGTGTAGTGTACTAGGAGGTACTTCAGGGTGAGGGCTTTTAGCCATATTAATTTCCAGAGCTTTATTCATTATACCAAACATTCTAAGTTCATTTGAACAAGCAGATATTCTTGTAGAACCATCTGTAGCTGCAAAATCTGCCTCCAACACAGCACGCATCAATAACCCCTTCGCCAAAGCTGCTAACCAGGGACGAGGGCGGAGGCTGACCGTGGCAGATCTGGAATTATGAAAGGCGATGTCACAAATACGCAAAAATTTTGAATTTTAGGTTGGCGCTCAATTTTGGTCTGATCAATATGTGGTAGGTTTTGTAGTCCGTCCAAAAAGCACATTTTTCGGGCATCGTTAAGCGGTTTTTAGGCTCTATTAAACCCTGCAAAAGTAGGAATAGGGTCACGGGATGATACCGTACTACCTTACTACCGTAGTACATTACTTACCATATTCCAGGTGTAGACAGCTTCCTGGCGACAGATCTTCCTTGGCAGGTCCCACCACCTCGCATCACGGTCCTGGAGCTTCACATGGTCGGAGCACGAGACGAGGCAGATTAATCCCACGAATACCAAAACCGGTAGGGATTTCCGCATTTTCGACGAGATGAGCAAAAGGGACCGAGTTCGAAATGCCCTCCTACATCAAAATTGCCTTTTATATCGCGGCCAAAAATTCTGAGAACTTTTGACAACACTTTTTGGGGCTACAATATAATTAGTGTATTGGGCTATGATGTGGAGGGATCATAAAATTGCATATGCAATGCAGAGAGTAGAGAGAGAGGGATATCGGGAGAGAGAGAGAGAGAGAGAGAGAGAGAGAGAGAGAGAGCATGAGGGTGGCTGAGTTAGAGAGCAAGAGTGAGTGAAAGAGAGAGGCAGCAAGAAAGAGGGCGCGGGACGTGAGAGAGAGAGAGAGAGAGAGGAGTGAGAGAGACAGTAATAGGGAGGAGACAAGAGCGAGGTAGAGACAGTTGATGGCAGAGAGAAAAGGTAAGTATAAGGGTTGCCATTTTTCGTGACCTCAGTTTTCTAACAGTTTATTCTCAAAAAAAAAAAATTCAATCCATTTTTCATTGAAGTTGCTTGAGCAGCTCTTCCTTTCCGTGGTAGCAGATATGGTACCACACCCATCGATAGGTACAAGATCTTCCGCCCGTACAGCAATGGTCAATAATACCATTATTGGAGGCATCGGCTCCCGGACCGGGCTCAGGCTCGTGGCATACCTAAGAAAATGGAATTCGTGCTCTCGTTTCTCAACTTGCTCCCTCTATCTCTTTCTCTCTCTCTCTCTCTCTCTCTCTCTCTCTCTCTCTTCTCGCTCCTCCTCTGTCCGCCCTGAGACACCTACGATATCGTAAACATGGACAGCTTCGGCTCGACAAATCTTTCTTGGGGTGTCCCACCACTTAGCATCGTGGTTCTTCGGTGGTTTCGACTTAAGAGAAACCTTACTAAGTCTTGAGATACCAGCTTAAAGGTACTAGCAGTCCGGAAAATTGACTTACGTTGACTAGGTGTCGCCAGCTACGACACGATTCTCAAGAATGCTACAAGCTCATTTTGATCGCCAGATTACTTTCGAATAATTCATATTTTCCATTTTTTTGGCACGTATTGTCGAGACCTAGGCTCGGCAGAGGTAGGTTTCATAGCCTCCTCGTATGCCTTAAGCTTAAGGAACGCAAGATGCACAGCTTCATTTTACCGTGCATTTCGCTTCGATGGCTGGCAGCAAGCAGAAAAGACCGAGGACGAAGAGAATTGGCAGGAATCGGTTCATCTTGAGTTCGGCACCTAGTACTATATTAAGCGGCACACTGCTACCGTTTTATACCGTCTGTTATTATGATAATATGGAATAAAGTCGATGGCTGGGCCAGACACATCGATATGCCAATATCAAGTTATAGGCAGCATCATATTGGGTAGGGGCGTCTGGGAATTGGTATCATAATGTCGAAAATCATAATGTCGAAACTCATAATGTCGAAATGTCATAATGTCGAAATTTCATAATGTCGAAGTTTCATAATGTCGAAATTTCATAATGTCGAAATGTCATAATGTCGAAATTTCATAATGTCGAAATGTCATAATGTCGAAATTTCATAATGTCGAAATTTCATAATGTCGAAATTTACATAGGCTAATTACCGGTGAAACCGCCAAATCCTAGCCAAAAAAAAACTTTTCCACCTTCTATTTTTTTTTATCTTATTTCACGACAACATTTTTTGTCTAGAATTCGGGGACTTTACCGGGAATTTTAGCTTATGTAAATTTCGACATTCTGACATTTCGACATTATGAAATTTCGACATTATGAATTTCGACATTATGAGTTTCGACATTATGAATTTCGACATTTTGAAAATAAGCCGGCGACTGGGTATCGTAATAAACGATGTGCTTTCTCTTTTCGACCGGATCGTCATTTTGTATTAGCAGTCGTACGGAATTTTCGGACGGAAATCTGAAATAATCAGTTTTGGTAAGAGATATTATAGTGAAACAAAAAAAAAAGTAATTTTCGAAGGCAGCCTAGCAGAGATTTTTGAGGAAGATCTTAAAACTCTATTGATTCATTTCAGCGTCAGCCTCCGACACCAAAATGTGTTGCGCCTGGTAGTCTTGTATCAGGAAGCATTGAGGTGCGAGTGTGAAAAAGAGAGAAAATGAGACGGTGAAAAAGTGTGTGTGAGAGAGTGAGTAATTGAAAATGAGAATGTGAGAGAGAGAGAACGAGATTGAGGGAGAGTGACAAAACAGCTTTAAAATTTCCGGAATATCCATTACGATTCATATCGAATTATTTATTCTGTCACAAGCGTTTCGGTCGTCCTCCAGGCAAGTCCTGCAAATGGCCATCCGGAGGGCAATTCTTGTAGAGGAGCCACATCCGCGAGCATCCTGGCAATCGACAACACGGTCCGGTGGAAGTAGCTAGAGCCCGAAATTGGTTAGCCGCCGGCTTGGTCAAGCCGTCGTTGCATACCTTAAATAAGATAGTTTTAAGGATTTTAGTAAGATTTTCAAGCACTGAAAACATCCTTCTTTACTAGTTTGAGATAGGATGAGCCATACCTCCGCAATAGCATTGTTGAAATCGTGCCCACTACAAAGAACGGCCCGATGTTCCCACCATTCCTTCGGTTGCTCCCAGGTTTGAATACACCCGGACCCGAATAAGAAGATAAGAATCCCGGTCCGGAGTTTCATCTCAAATCCGTTAACTTTCAGCTTTTTTTCAGAGGTTTTCAAGAGCGGAAGAAGATTTTCATGCAGTTTTTGCAGTTTTCCAGAATATTCAATAGATTTGGACGACAAGAGGACAAAGCTCAACGGCCGCATTTTTGGAATTTGGAAGGGCCATTTGTTAATGCTTTCTTTCTGTATTAGAAGAAACCAACGTGAACACTCACTCATTGTTTCTCTGTGATAAAAATGGTTTGATGAATTTGGGCGGAAAAAGGCCATTAGTATACTTTTCATTCCGCTATCGAATGTATATTCGAACATCGAAAATACCGAAAATTGGCTTCCTTACATTTTTTTGGGCTAAAATTGATTTCTCAATATATTTTTCGGTGATTCATCGAATGGCTTTTGCGGAAATTACAAGGTAGCTGAAAATACTAGGCTTATTTAGTCGCCCCTGTTATTTTATCCCCCCGTACCCGGTGTGTACCGTCGAGAAGCATTGCAATTTCGTGCAGACACGTGATGGTTATATTTTATTGGTGGAAATCGCATGGCAATAACGCCTTTTCCAGTTTGTCTACGCTGTGTCCCCAGGGAGCAGTTTAGGGCACATCTGCAATTCCGTATGGGCCGGTGGCGGTAGCCCGGCCCCGCCGGGATAGTGGCATCTGTATTCTGGATGGCACACTTGGTAGTACACCCAGATACGGGAGCATCCTTTCGAGTTGCAGCAGCTCTTATCTACGGTGGCCGCATAGACATCGTCGACGTCGTGCAGCCGCGATACTGGCGGGGGTGGTGGTTGCGGGAAGCACACCTGGAAAACCGGATGTATGGTTCACGTCATCAACATGATGGCGTCATTATAGCCGAGTCATGGGCTAGTCAAAATGTGAATATTTTAGCATATTCCATTTGGACAGGTTCCATGTTGCGCAAAATTGCAGCATGCAAAAAAAAAACTGGATCCAGGTTGCTTTAAAGAAACCTGTAAATTATTTTTTCGGAAATTTTGCCGGGAACAGTAGAAAACGGTTTGGAATTGTAATTAAAAATCAAAGAGCCTTTGCGTTCTTCCCTTCATACGTCTGCGCTAAAAAACCCACTCAGTATTCGTAGCAAAAAATTGGAGGTGCAAAAGAACCGAGAGTTTAATCAAAACTGCAAAGTTGAGCCCCCGGATCTGGCTTGGATGACACATTCACGAATTTCCTATCAACCTGTCCCCCGTGAGCAAAAGCACCTACCGATTCCCTATAGACCTTAGCTTGGGCTGTGCCGCACACGTGTGTTTTTCGCTCCCTCCACCACTCGGCGCTGTGCTTCTCGCCGTCGGGCCCGAGTGGAAACGGGACCAACCGCGCGTTTCCACTGCACTTGGCTTCGACCCCTTCAAATGAGTTGCTTAATGCTTTCCATTACGCACGGATTCACGATTGCTGCTTAAAGCCCAGCGGTTTGCGTGGCGTGCCGCGACCTGCGTGTGATAAGAAGCCACCATTTTTTTAACAATGGTTGATTCCATTGGATTTGTCCGCACCCGCGGCGAGCAGCGCAACGCTTGGCCGCCAAGTAGTCGGCAAAACCATTACGCGATAGAAGTGCAGAAGTACGCGTCGCGGATCCCGCTCATATGTACCTGTCGTCAGCAGCAAACAGCCCAGCCATAGCAAATTCAGGATGAACAACTTCATCTCGGCATAGAAACCAGATTTCGTTCATCTTTTATAGGCCTCGAAACTCAAGAAAATCAGAGATCAGGCAAAAATACTGCTGGTTGTTTTTGCCGTTTCCGAAAATTTATACAATTTTATTGCCAAGAGTGGAGGTTTGCAAGGCTTTGCCTTGTTTTTATGAAATGCTGGCGATCACAAACCAGGAGAACGTATGATATTTGGGACTAGAAAATAGTATCGGCTTCAAACACCGAATTGAAAACCGCATAAAAATTCCGCCAAAAACCTAGGCTGCAGGTTTTTTGCTCGGTATAAATTGTAGAGCGGAGTTTTGAATCCCAATAGCTTAAAAAGATTAAAGCTTTAAACAACATTTAAAAATGCGCTTTATCTTCCAGAATTGAGGGTTAAATTAACACTTAATTTTAATTAATTTCACGTGAATTTAAAAATCGAGGGGCAACTTCTGTGAACATTTTGCATCAACAGGATGGAATGGTCCTTGCGGGCCCTTCGTGAAAGTGTAGGTACAAAACGGATGCCTCTTTATTAAACCACACGCAAACTTTTGCTTTTTTTAAGTAGCTGAGCATCGCAACAAGGCTGGTTATTCCTAGAAAACAAATTATGATACACATCGTTTGTATTGTAGCCCGACCTTACAACACTGGCCATTCGGCATGAGCTTAAGACCAACAGGACATATCCCACCAACCGGATCTAAATACACAAAAATTATGTCTTAAGGGTCTCAAGACTCTCGCGGGGGATTTCAAAAAAAGAAAAAGCAACGTACATCCAAAACAATTCGGCGGCGTATAAAACATGCAGCGGCTCGTGTCAAGCGAACATCCGGTCGGGCACAACATATTGACGGGTACTGAATTAGGGGTGATTAATTATTAGCGGGCTAGACGGCGCCAGAATCCAACGCTAGTGTCAAATCGGTGCAGACAGCTATGCGACGCGTCCAACAATTTTTTTTTGTCTAGTTTCGATACCTTCCAGAGAAGTTACTCAAGGCTTGAAAGAAACGTACTTCCTTCCTAGTGGTTGTGTGCGTAGAAACCCCGAATAATAGGCATGAATAACCTGGGTTATTGAAGGTCGTGAATGGGAAAGAATTTTAGCGCCCAAATTACGGCATGGTTAACAAGTTTTTACTAAGCCAACCCTTTATACCTTATCTTAAAAAAACTTTATCATATCTTAAAAACCTATGGATATTCCTTCATTTACATGCGAGGCTTTCTAAAGTATATTTGGTTGGGTGTCGCGCTCACAGCCGGGCGCTTTTGCTACCATTAAAGGGGCTCCGAAATCTGGTCCACGACATGAAATCGCCGCCCACCCAAAATGTCGTGTTCGCCTCGAGAACATTTCGGTTTTACTGAAATATTTTACGTTTTTCCGCAATGAAATTATTTTTCTGGGACTTATGGGCATTGATCCTTTCGTTTTTTGACCAGTAGGTTCAATCCCCGCACGCACGAATTTTGACTTCCGAGCCCCTTTACGGTTGGGAGGTTTTGCGTAAACTGCCCACGAATTACGCTTTTCAACGCTGGCTCGAAATGTATTAGATTGTGGAGCACGAGGCAGGCAATTCTCAAGAAGTGGTCGATTTTCGCGCTGTCCAGCGCATTTAAAAGGACGAAAAATCGTCTTCACTTACTCCCACAATCGGCCCACTTCACCCGGGTGCATGCCGCTTCCACGATGCATCCACAAGGACACACACCGTCTTTCGACGCTGAAAATTGGCAGGAATCGTGAATTCCCATATATTATACTATGAATCCCCTGCAAAAACACTAAAAGAAATCCAGTAAATAGAGAGCCATCAAACTTACTTCCGCACGGGTCCCCATTCGCGGCGAGACCCTAAAGATTGGCCCATCTGTTAATGCGTATTTAACAGACCACAGAGATCAGAGCAGCGAAAAACACGGCGAGGCGTATTATAGAAAATGACAGAACTATCATTGTCAAGAGTATCCTTGTATCTTATAAAAGCTTCGTAGCTGATCACCGCCTAGCACCGCGAATCGGATTAATTGGCCCGGGTGGCCTGATTGTAGTTTAACCCTGCCGGAAACCGAACTTTCTATCCCCAAAGATTTTAAGCCCGAAAAGCCGGATGAAGCGTCGATGCTGGACTAGCGTTTTTGACTTGAGGTTGATAAGGAAAACTAGAGTGAAAAACCAAACAGATACAGAATAGGGAGAGAAAGAGAGCGAGAGAGAGAGAGAGAGAGAGAGAGAGAGAGAGGGAGGGAGGGGGAAAAAGCGATAGAGGTAGAAAGAGAAGTGCGAGAGAGAAAGAGAGCGAGAGCCTGGGAGACAGTGAGTGAGAGGGCGAGGGCGGGGGCGAGAGAGAAACGAAGTGAGAGAGAGAGAGAGAAAGAAACAAAGAGGGTGAGAGAAGGAGTTAGAAAGTGAGCGGGAGAGAGAGTGAGCGTTAGATAGAGAGTGTATGAGCGTAAGCCTTCCTTTTTCTAAAAAACAAAAACCATAAAACCATAAAATTCAGTACGAAAAACCATCGATTCATGCCATAAAACACTTTATTAAGATGTTGCCATGTGATCTTCAAAAAAAATTCGCCGAAAACAACCGGGAAGCGATAGATAATGCATTAATGGACTGGAATTGGCGAGTAGAAGAGACACCAGATTTTTTCCTTTTCCTCCGCCTAGACGATGAAGATGTCGCGGCCGACGCGGTAGTCCTCGTTGTGCTTCGGCTTCTTTCTGAAAAGGAAAACGTGCTACAAAAATCGACTAAAAATACCTTAAAAATGTATACCTCTAAAAATCAGGGTACCATTTTGGCTGAATAAAGCCATTAAAACTGATTTAAATCGAAAATTTCGAGTGTCCCAGCCGTTTTAAAAGGCCAAACAAGACATTGCTGTGGATTTTTAAGGTTTGACCAGGGTTGAAAAGCCGCTTCGCGACTTTTCAACCCTGGCCCCGTCCAACCCCATAATATTCTTCGCTCTGCATGGGTCTCTCGAATGCCCTGCATTGAAAAAATGAAAAACGCCCCTCTCTCGCATTATATATAGGCTAACGTCATCCGGAGTATGCTAATTTTTCCTAACAAAGAGATCGGCCGATTTTTCAACAAAAACTTAATTTTAATGTCGAAAATAGCAGAATTTGCAACATTTGAAAGCGTGCAGTTATCCCAGAGCCATTACGCATCTAATGACGTATCATGCGTCGCTTAATACCCTTCCCTTCTTGAGATATCTTCCGGACACCCTGACGGAAGTTGCATGCAAAGTGGCACACACACACTAACACACACACCGGATTTTCGGGTATACAGCCCAAGAAATGGTTTTTACGTATTTTACCGCCACGTAAGCGCGACACAGTACAGTACTGCAGTTACATTGCGTAATCGATTACGACATTTTTAATGGCTAACCGGCGCAAACGTTGCGTGTCGTGGCACGTAGGCATTTTTAGCGTGACAACAAAATTCATAGCCATGCCAATAGCAAGATAATTCACAGCTATGGTCCATTTAGGAAATTTTAATGAGGTGATGCCTTCAAATTTTACAGTCCTACTGTAAATGGAAACGATTTTCAGCTGTTTTAGGTGATTTTTGTCCGTTTTTAGACGGAATTCCGCTACCATACCCCCTCTTGAGCCTCTTAGCCGTCTTCTCGGCGGCCTCATCCGGCGGCTCATCTCCCTTGAAGCGGCCGATCGAGCAGCTCGTGTCGCCCTTCGTCTCATCCTACAAAAATAGCAAATTGAGTAATCGTTAAATTACGGCTGAAAGGCATTAATAGACACCACAAATACGATGCGATACCCCAGTGGTCATCTTGTTCTCGACGCGCGCCTTCACGCACGCCTCGAACTCATCGCGGTCGCTGTCCGGGTCCTCGGTGAGTTCTTTTTTCTAGATCGGATTTTGTTTTCTAAATTTTCATAAATTTGATACCTTAACCTCCTCCTTGGGCGGGCGGTTGAGGACAAAATTCGGCAAGATTTTGCCCAGGAAATCCGGGGCCACGGCGCCAATGTTGATCTCGTAGCGCTAAAAAAAGGGGGTTGAGGTGTCGCTGTCCCTTTAAGTGTTCTGGGAACTGTAAATTCTACTCAAAATCGTAAAAATGTTGCTATATCTCGTTCTGTCACTCGCTCTCTCTTCTGTCTCTTGCTCTCTGTCTGTCTCTCTCCCTCTCTGTCTCCTCACCCTGGCGCACTTGTCGATGATCTCGTGCAGAAGCACACATTCCGGCCGATCGGTCTCATCAAAAGTACGGAGGATGCGGAACAGCTGCTCAAAGTCGGGCGGCAGCAACTTGTCGAAGTTCTTGACTGAAAAAGCAGGCTAGCAGAGAACTTTGAGCAATTTCCAGCTCCCCAAAAAATTCCCCACATTTCCCCTGCCGCATCTTGACCTTGTCGTCGAGCATTTTCGCCGGCTCCTTGCTCTTCCACGGCACCGCGCCCATCTTGAACACGTCGATAAAGGTGAACAACCTGGGGGCGGGGATTTAAAGGTGTGGTGACAGCAAGGAATACAGTGACTCGAGGTCGTCGCGAAAGTAGACGGTCTTCTCCCGCTGGGCGGCCACACTCTGGAACACCTTCGAGCCGCGGATCGACGATTTGTAGTCGTCTTTGTAGACTCTTAATGGGTAAGGTACTTTCCAAACGACGGAAGTTTTGGACATACGGTACTGGTAATTCCGGAATACGGTAATTTTGCGGGCTACGATGCTGTACTGTAATTTATCGTATACTGTACTTTCCAAATGACCGTGCCACAGGTAATAATTTGAGATCTTACGGTACTTTCCGTATCGTCTCGTATTCCGATTACGATACTTTCCAACCGACGCGCTGAATTACAGTATTCCGCTGGCTACAGTAATTTTTGAGTTACGGAACTAGCCTAGGTACGCTACTTTCCAAATGACGACGTCACAAAATACGGTATCACTGACCTACGGTATCGTTCTAGTTGCGGAAAACCGTTGAGTATGTTACTTTCCAAATAACGACATTTGGTGCTTACTGAGGTTTACAAATACGGCATTTGAGGCCTACGACACTTTAATAATTACGCAGTTGTACGACCCGTCTTAAAAACCGACTTATGTTCCCTGTTGCCCTTCTTGACGTAGTGCAGATGCGAGTAGCCCACGACGAACACCAGCGACTCGTGCACGTGGCTGCCCACGCAGAACGACTTCGGCGAGACGCGGCTGAAGAGAAAAGAATGCTGATTTTAAAGTGACCACAACTGACCGATGCACGTAGCCGAGGCGGTGCAGCTCGGAGAGGGCGCGCAGGATTTGGTCGCACATGTAGAAGGCCATTTGGTGACTGAAAAACCGGTTGCGTGGGGAATAAAAATAGCTTTAGGTTTCTAGGCACTTGTGCATTATCGGGGGAGGGATGGACAGTTTTTTCACTAGCATCCCGTTCCGTACGTGAAATTGCGCTGCAGATGAAGCTGGCGCAGGTCGTCGAGATTGGGGCCGAGCAGCTCGCAGGTGTGGAAACGGAGCTCATTCAGCTCGCCAAAGTCGCCCGTTTGCTTCGTCACGCTAAAGTAATGATCTTCTCCTGGATACGGTAGCATTCCCCGACTTGATAAGGTGGCGACTGTAGCGACGGTCGGCCAGCGGGTATCGTTGCGCCAAGCGGATGAAGCACTGGAAATCGGCATTTTAAAGGGACCGGAAAGGCAGGGCAATCAATTCTAGGGAGCTTTCGCATTATCGGGGGGTGGGGTGGCTCTAGAAATACCGCAACCGTAATTATTTTGATAATTTTTTTAGTGACCGTATTTAAAGCGCAAAAACTGTCTTAAGCACATTAAAAAAATACAAAACTTTGAAATTTTGGTAAATGAATCAGCGATTTTGGTCGAAAATAAATATTTTGCCCTTTTTTAACAATTTGTAAATTTTTTACGCTTAAGAATAAAGAAAAAGTTTAGAATTGCTTACCTATTTATACAAAAAACTTGGATTCTACGCAATATCCCCCGCTAATGGAAAAGAACCGGCACCTTTCTCAGGCTTAACCTTTTAAACTAACTTCTTTGGTTTATATTCAAAAATGTATGCAAAATAGAAAAAATTGGCATTCGCTCCATAATACCCCCCTCCGATAATGCAAAAGAACCCAAAATCCATAGCCTCTCTTTGCCAATCCCTTTAAAGATCCCCTCATCTCACATCGAGCGATCTGAACGCCTTGGGGCAGTTGATGTGCTCGGTGCGCAGGCACATCCGCGTCTTCTCCACCGGCTCCTCGGCCTGGAAAGAGAAAATAAAGTTTTTCGAGATTTTCCAAAGAATCTCTGCTCCCTTGCCCACCTCGTAGACATCGCCAAACTCGCCAAAGTGCAGCACGCTGGTGATCTTGAGCGGATCGCCGAGGATCGTCTGCACGACGGTGCCCACCGGGATCACCTGATGCTCGTACTGCAAATTTGACGTTTTTGGTGCTTTTGCATCATCGGGGGGGGTCAAATCGACATACCTTCTGGGTGACGGTCATGAAGGGAAATGCCTGGTTTTTGGCAGAATTGCGTCATGCGCCAGAACTATGCAAATTACACAATTTCCGGTCTAATCAAAGGCGGAGAAATTGAATTTCCAATTTTTGGGTACTGGACTATTAGTGGGGGGAGAACAGATATCAGAGAGACAGCCAACTTTTTCCTTGGTATCCAATTGTTTCTAAGTACAATTCGGATAAGCGGGGGGGATTTTAGGCGGGGGAAACCACTTTTTTGTCGGCCCTGGTGGGGATAGTAATCAAATATAAAGTGTTTTCACATTGTTTTTAGCAAAATTTAAGCCTATTTGAATCGGAAAAACTTTTGAAAAAGTTAGAAAAACTTTTGAAAAAGTCGAAAATTTGGTCATTTTTGGGCCGAAAAAATGGATTTTTCGACCTAAAATTAAGGTTTTTAATTAAGTTTTGTAAGTTTTTATGTTTAAGAATAGCTATAACAATTTGAAACACTTCCACTTTTATATAAAATATAGGCTTGGGCGGAAAAGTTCGGTTTCCCGCCCGCCTAAATCCCCCGCTTTCCGTTGTACCGTTTCTAATATAAATTGAGGAAGCGTTTCTGGGCGTTTTTTGCGATTCCTAAAACACAAATACTTTAAAAGTTTTTTCCTTTTTTTTGTCAATATGTTAAAAATTTGTAGTTTCGCCGAAACATCACATTACATCTCCAATTTTTATAAATTTTAGAATTTATAGATCCGGTAAGAGTCTAGGAACCCCACCCCCCAGACGGCACCAACTTTTGTGTCTCGGCCCTCCTTTGTTCTAGCGATCTCTAAAGTATACCAAAATGCTCGCAGTAGGCTAATTAGTTAGAATAAATTGCATTTGAGTCGAAAAAGTAGCGAAAAATAAAAATAGGGAAGGGAGAAAAGTTGAAAAGTCGGTTGGGGGGGGTTCCTAGACTTTAGCCATAGAGATTTTTCCGCTTGAAATCTAATTAAAATTTATTGAACTTAATTTAAACATTTATTTTACATTACTAAGCACTTCAGGATAATGCGAAAGTAAAGGTGGCTTTGATCTCGATCCAGAAGTCGCAGCACAGTCCAATTTTTCAAACGCTTTTCCCATGTCAAACACTTTACTTTTTCGGGCCGGCGCTCGCCTTCAATTGCCAAAAAATATCGGCATTTAGATTTTTCTGGGTGGTGCCGGGCGGGGGCAGGGAGGTGGCTTGTAGGGATTGTTGGCACAGATGTCCAATTACACGAAAATCTGTGGATAAAAGGATGGGCATGGGTCAGTGGGGGCGGAAAAGTCACCAACGATGTTCGCTCTCACTACTTTCTGCATTGGGGCTGTACTCGCTGCGCAGGTTGGTCATCTACGGTTTTAGAGGGGGAGAGAGAGCAATGGTGAGCGAGAAAGAGATAGCGAGAGAGAGAGTGAGAGAGGGAGAGAGGGAAAGAGAAAGAGAGGGAAAGTGAGAGAGAGGGAGAGGAAGAGATAGTAACTTCTATATTTTTCAAAACCTAGGCATTCGCTGATTCCTATGGTCCTGGTGCTCCCAGTTGCCCAGCTTTCACCCCCACCGACCTGAGCAGCGTCAAGGCTCGTACGTTTTTATTTAAAGGAACCTGCAAGGCAATGCCATGGCTTTTTAGTTATAAATCCGCTTTGAATTTTGCCGCGCCCGTGATACGCAACGGACTTTTCATGCAGACCAAAATTTATCCCGACCCGTGCGCGTTCCGCGCGCTGCGTAGCGTAGCGTAGCGGCAAAAATGTATGAAAGCTCGAGTCCAAAATCCATAACTATGGCTTGCACGTCCCTTTAACGTCTAATTAAGCGGCCGTCAACGGTGTGTGTAGCGACCCGACCCTTGTCTGTCGCTACATCACCACCTACCTGGGCAGCAGCAATGCCTGCGTTACGGTAAATTAAAAAATTAGCAATTTTATAATCCGCTTCAGGCCGCCAGCCTCTGCCAGAAGTCGACGTACATCGACCCGAACTCCGTAGCTGGACGTAAGTTACCCTGAAAAGCGTCATCCGCGTCACGAAGCGCGCAATTTGCTTGACCCGCTCGAAGACGTCGTATTCAATTACACATTGGAAATGCGGCAGGCGTATTTTGTGTCGCAGAAAAGCGCTCTTGAAATGAATCACACGTACCTCTTGAACTTGTTGAAGACATCGTAATCCGTGACCATAAGGAAAACGGCAGGCGTCGCCTGACGGCCGTAGCAAAAAATCTACGTGAATCCAAATTCAATAAAACCTGATATAAGCATGCTTTGCCTATCCTTTTACCCCTTTCTAGCCGCCGACGCCAACCTGAACTGCCCGAAAACCACGCACTGCGTCTCCGGCTCGACCACCAATGGCTACACGGGCAGCTTCTGTGTCTTTGACAGCTACGGACGTATTACTACCACTACTACCCCTTAATGACGTAATGAATAAAGCAAGCAACAATGACAGGCTTACCGGAATCCAAAAATTTCATTCTCCCCACCGGCTGAAAATAGTTATTACGTAAAATCGGACAGCTCGGAATCTGCGCGAACTTCGTAGCTAGCTTGGCTTGGGCTTGGCTTAGGCCCGGCCAGTTTTGGCGTAGGCTTACAATTAGCTCCGGCTTTGGCCAAGGCTTACGAGGGAAGCGTACGACCGGCCCATGGGAAATTGACACGAAACATGGTGGATCTCATGGAATCGGATACGGGGATTCCGATCCTGTTATGAGAAACTGCTAAACAAAACGGAGAAAAAGTTATGAAGCTTCAAAGTTGGTAAAATCGCCCAAAATCGGTCTGTTATCGGGCTGGAAGGGCACGTGGGATGGAAATTTGCGACAACCCATTAGTGCATCTTGTTCCGCAGAAAAATTCTTTCGAATGAGGTGTAATACGCACTATTTGCAAATAATTCACCAAAAATATTTTTTTGAATTCACGGAGAAGGGTATGACTGGAGGAGGCAAAGGGCCTGTCGAGGTCATCAAAGAGATTTCCTCCATTCCACGGACCCTTACAGGCCGATAAGACCGATTTTCGGCGATTTTACCACGTTTGAAGCTTCCCAACTTATTCTCCGTTTTGTTTAGCAGATTTAGATAACAGCATCGGAATCCCCGTGTCCGATTCTATCATATCCACTATGTTTTGTGACGGTTTCCCCTGGGCCGGTCGTGCACTTCCCTTGTTGGTTTAGGGTTGGCTTAGGCTTGGCTTAGCTTTCTCTTAGGCTTAGTTAAGGTTTAACTTCGGCATGGCTTTGCTTTAGCTTAGGCCGGTTCAAGCCTATCTAGCTTGGGAAATTCATTTCGGTGTTGAGAATCAGAGAGAGAAAGAGGGTGGGAGCGAGAGATAGAGAGAGAGGGAGGGAGAGAGACAGAGAGAGAGAGAGAGAGAGAGAGAGAGAGAGAGAGAGGGAAAGGGAGAACAAGAGAGAGAGAGAGAGAGAGCGAAAGAGAAGGAGATCCGGAGCAGACTGCTAAAGCTCACTTGACAAGTTGTATCTTCCCAGAGTAATTTTTCAAAAAAAAAAAAGCTTTTACGACGCGTTTTGTAGCGCTTGATGAGCTCAGCTGGTTTCTAGTTTCAAAAAGTTTGCAAGCCGCTTATTGGGGGGAGTTTTTAACAAAGACAGAAAATCGGTTAATTTTGGTCCCAACTTTCAAGCCTTGTTAAAAATCATAAAAATGTTTCCCGACAAGATTAGCGTCGCCACTGTGTAGAGCATCAAAGTACAAAATCGTATATTACGTCTAGCTCCTAGATCAACAGGGCTTTCAAAAAAATGCCAGAAAGGAAAAACCGCCAGGACTTTCCGGACAGCCTGATAGACACATTACTTTTTCTGACCGGTCTTCGCCTTCAATCGCCAAAAAATGCCGGCATTTAGATTTTTTGGGGTGGTGCCGGGCGGGGGCAGGGAGGTGGCTTGTAGGGATTGTTGGCACAGATGTCGTATTACACGAAAATCCGTGGTTAAAAGGGTGGACATGGGTCAGTGGGGGCGGAAAAGTCACCAACGATGTTCGCTCTCACTACTTTCTGCATTGGAGCTGTACTCGCTGCACAGGTTGGTCATCTACGATTTTAATAAAGAGAGGAGAGAGCAAGAGCGAGAGAGAGAGAGCGCGCCTGTGAGGGATCGAGAAAAGAGATAGTATCTTCTATCTAATTTTAAAGATCTAGGCCTTCGCTGGTAATGGTACTGGTGCTCCCAATTGCCCAGCTTTCACCCCAACCGACCTGAGCAGCGTCAAGGCTCGTAAGTTTTTATTCCATAGCGGAGATTCCGGATTATACTTCCCGGGGCCTAATATCCATAACTATGGCTTGTACCTCCTTTTAACCATGTACCTTTAAGCGGCCGTCAACGGTGTGTGCAGCGACCCGACCCTTGTCTGCCGCTACATCACTACCTATCTGGGCAGCAGCAATGCCTGCGTTACGGTAAGCAGCTATTTTCCCTAACCAAAAATTTGCCTTCAGGCCGCCAGCCTCTGCCAAAAGTCGAGCTACATCGACCCGAACTCCGTAGCTGGACGTAAGTTATCCTGAAAGGTATTATCCGCGCCACCCAACGCGCATTTTGCTTGACCCTCTTGAAGAAGTCGTATTCCATTACACATTGGAAAAGCGTCAGGCGCGTTTTGTGTTGCCGATAAGCAATCTTGACATGAATCACACGTACCTCTTGAACCTCTTCAAGACGTCGTAACCAGTGGCCATAAGGAAAACGGCAGGCGTTGCCTTACGGCCGTGGAAAAAAAATGCAGGCATCCAAGTTCAATAAAACCTCAGATATAACCATATTTTGCCCTTCCCGTTAAACCTTACTTTCTAGCCGCCGACGCGAACCTGAACTGCCCGAAAACCACTCACTGCGTCTCCGGCTCGACCACCAATGGCTACACGGGCAGCTTCTGCGTCTTTGACACCTACGGACGCACCACCTACGCGCCGTATTACCGTGGATAAGCAATTTCCGCAACTTTCATCGCTCTCTATGCAACCTTTTTAGAGTATGAATTAATGAAGTAATGAATAAACGAAGCAACAATGACTCGTTTCCAAAAGCCGATATTCCCGTAGCAGACCTCGCGAAAATTGCTATTTTGGCAAACCTGGGCGCTTTAGTTTAGCTTGGCTGGATTTAGCTTCGGGTTCTTTGGCTTGCTCATGCTTGGCTTGGCTTAAGCTCAGCCTAGGCTTAGACTGGCTTAGCGAGAGCCAGGGAGTTTATGGGAGAACGTGGGAAAGAGAGGGAGTTCGAGAGAGAAGTGAGACAGAGATCCAGGTTGACACGACTTCTCCGCCAGTATTTCGATAGTTTCCAGATTGTTTTAACGATTTGTGGCCCTAAAGAGGGCCGGTGGGTTTCGGATAGAGGGAGCGGAGAGAGAGAGAGAGAGAGAGAGAGAGAGAGAGAGAGAATGAGAGAATGAGAGAGGAGAGAGAGACAGAGAGAGCGCGAGAGAGTGAGAGAGATCCAGAGCGGATCACTCGGCAACAAAGGCATTTCATAAATTTTAATTTTTTTGATTTGTGGCCCTAAAGAGGGCCGTTGGGTTTGGGGGTTTGTTTGTTGTTGTGTCAAGCAGACATCGCGTCGTAGGCAGTCACTCCAAAAGCTTAGGCACGTTCTCCACGGATGCGGCGGGCCAGCTGGATGTCCTTGGGCATGATGGTGACGCGCTTGGCGTGGATGGCGCACAGGTTCGTGTCCTCGAAGAGTCCGACCAGGTAGGCCTCAGAGGCCTCCTGGAGGGCCATGACGGCGGAGCTTTGGAAGCGGAGGTCGGTCTTGAAGTCCTGGGCGATTTCACGGACAAGGCGCTGGAAGGGCAGCTTGCGGATGAGGAGCTCGGTGGACTTCTGGTAGCGGCGGATCTCACGGAGGGCGACGGTTCCGGGGCGGTAGCGGTGGGGCTTCTTGACTCCGCCGGTGGCCGGGGCGGACTTGCGGGCGGCCTTGGTGGCGAGCTGCTTGCGGGGAGCCTTGCCTCCGGTCGATTTGCGGGCGGTCTGCTTGGTACGAGCCATTTCTTGGGTTGGGAAGAATTGGTGATGGTTTGGAGGGGCTGGGGGCGGCCTTTTATAGGGCTCTGGGGGGTGGGGAGGGGGCGTGGCCGGCCCCTTGTGTAGCCCGGGGACATCTGTCTTTTGGCGGGAAAGGGCTGGGGGCTGGGGGTCAACACATTAATGGTAGGACATCGACAAGAAAAAAAACTTTGTGAAATTTTTGCGCTTATAGATGACTCTAATACTTGGAGAGGTGATAAACTTACTAAATTAAAAGTTTTTGGATAATCTAGAGCAAAAGCAAGCTAGTAAGCAGCTGATTTTGCCTATTTTGAACTGAAATAACCGAAAAGTATGCTGATAGAGAGGAAAATCTTTGCGCAATTTTTGGGTTGAGCATCAACTAGTGAGAAATTAGCTAAAGCCAGAATTTGAGGACAATCTAGAGCATAATTAAGCTATTCCCCAGCTGATTTTGTCGATTGTGGACTGAAATAACTGCAAAATACGCTGAGAACGACCCCTTGTGCAATTTTGTAATAAGACCGAACGGCAGATTTGCGCAATTTTCAGATTGAGCAGCATCTCTGAGAGTTGAAATAAGGTTTCTGGACTATGGAGAGTAGTTAGAATCAGGCTATTGGCAACTTGTTTCAAAAATGCTGATAATTCAGGCAGAAAAACGCTCAAAAGGTATAATTTCAACTCCAATTTCTCTAATCGTGCTTCGCTATTACCGGGGATATATTTCTTTTCTATTAGTCTAGAAATGTCTGGTAGCGCAATAACAATTACTTTACGTGTGTTTTTAGTGGAATAAAACAACGAATTTCTGAAGTTCTTTGGAACATTCGACATTTTTTTTGAGAATCAGCCATTTTTTATCCAAAATCATGTATTTTTTAGTTCTTAATGAATCGAATTTGTAAACATTTTACATTAAACTTACCAAAAAAACCGGTTAAAACATTTTTTAATCGGAAAAAATGACGCCCGATAATGCGAAAAAATCCAAGATCAGCATGCGGCACACATTGGTAATATACCGATTGTTTTAAGTGGTAGGAGCAGCGGTTCTGATGCAAATACATATCAATTTCGGGTGCCGAAAGGATATTTAGCTGGTGATGAGCAGACGCTGTCAACATCGAATCGACCAATATCGATTCCTTTGCTTCGTGGAACTTCGATGTAAATTATGCGATACGTCAAAGGCACGTTACTGTAAAAAGAGGTTAAAAATTTATTTAAAACTCCATGATCTCAGTTCTGTCATTATCGCACATCTCAGTTCGAACTCGGAATTTCCGACGGTCATCAACGCAGAAAGAAGCCGTTCAATCTTCTAAGTTTGTTAAGTTAATCTGCTAAGTTAGTCTAAGTCAGTTTAAATTTGCTGTCAGGCTTCATCAAACTCATCCTCGTCGTCTGGAAAGTAGCGTACTAATTCGATTTTCACAAATTTTTCATAGTTTCCACGATTTTTGTATTGTGGTTTCATTAAGTTGTGCTGTTTATGTCTATTTACTCCTTTCCCAGTCAGCCTAACATAACCACTCTACCCCATCATCAAGCTTTTTAAGCAGCGTACTGTAACGTAGTATAGAGTACCCTGCTAATTTATTGGCAAACTATATTTTACATGGGTTTTCCTTCCAGGTTTCATCAAAATCACCATCATTTTTTTGAAGACCGCGTAATAGTTTTTTTAATTTCAATTTTAAGCATTTTCTTGTACTTTAATATGTAGTTTTTGGTACCTGACAATTTAATATAAAGTTTTGTTTTATAATTGTTATTTCTTCTTATCTGCTTTCCAGCCCCTTCATCGAATATCGATCGGCCCTTGGGCATTGGCGGGAGGCCAGATGTGGGTCAGCCCGGGCCCCGCCCCCTCCCCTCACCGTAAGCCCCGCCCCCATGCCCACAGAGCCCTATATAAACCCCCCATCCCCACCCTCCTCATCTTTCCGAAGAACCAACTCAAGAACTCGACAATGTCTGGACGTGGCAAGGGAGGCAAGGCCAAGACCGGCGGCAAGCAGAAGTCGCGCTCCGTCCGCGCCGGACTCCAATTCCCCGTGGGACGTCTGCACCGTCTTCTCCGCAAGGGCAACTACGCTCAACGTGTCGGAGCCGGAGCCCCCGTCTACCTCGCCGCCGTCCTCGAATACCTCGCCGCCGAGGTGCTCGAGCTGGCTGGCAACGCCGCCCGTGACAACAAGAAGACCCGCATCAACCCCCGCCATCTCCAGCTCGCCGTCCGCAACGATGAGGAGCTGAACAAACTCCTCAGCGGTGTCACCATCGCCCAAGGAGGTGTCCTGCCCAACATCCAGGCCGTGCTCCTCCCCAAGAAGACCGCTGGAGACAAGGAATAGATGTTGATCTACAACACCATGTCCGTCGAGCCTTCGAACAACTAACCAACACACACCCCCAACCCAACGGTCCTCTTTAGGGCCACAAATATAACAAAAAAAATCTTATGGCTTTGACTTTGAAACCTTGGGCTTGCAAATCAAGCTCTGGATACAGGGAGCTTTGTTGCTCTCTGATGGCTTTCTCTCTCTATCTCTCTCTCCTCTCTCTCCCGAAGTCTCTGTCTATCACTCATGGTACCAAACGGCCCTCTTTAGGACCACAAGGATAGAAAAAACTTCCGACTTTCAAACGCTTGAACTTACAGCTGAAGCTTCGAAGCCTGTGATGCTGGAGCTTCATAAACTCAACACGCGGAACAAGCAAGGGCGAAAATGAATGCTGGCTTCCGGTTTGTCTCGTTCTCACTCAGTTTCTCTCTGTCTCTCTGTATCTCTCTCTCTCTCTCTCTCTCTCTCTCTCTCTCTCTCTCTCTCTTCTCTCTCGCTCTCTCGTTCTATCTCTCTCTCTCTCTCTCGATCTCACTCCCTCTCTCGATCTCACTCTCTCTCACTATCTCTCCCACCGTATTATTTTCCAGGCTTGCCGAAATATGTAACCTTGCAAGATACGGTAGTCGCCCTAGATAATCGGAATTTCTGGACATTTTTATACTTTCGCGAATCCTCAAAGTTGTTTTTCCACACTTAGAATTCTTTTTAGACCACCTCGAGCGCGATCTATCATCCAAAACATCAATCTACGGTTAAAGGAACTACCAGAATTGAATATTTTTTACTCTAGTAGAGTACTCTAGTGGATTCTGCTTGTTGGAGCCTTTGTGCTACCCTCATGAATTTATTGTTTTTTTTTGAGGGTTTATTCCAATCCGACCCCCAATTTTTGGCGCCTAACCCCAGTCCAGGTCAGGGTGGGGAATTTGAGTGATGCCCCTGGCTATGGGCCAGCAGGCGATTTTCGCGCCAAAACACCACGCTGACGACCAGGGATCAGGGCATGAGGGGTCAACTGGAAAGTCTAACCCAGAAAATAACTGACAAATGAGAAAAAAGAAGAGAGAGAAGAGAAAAAACAATTTGTGAGAAAATAAATTAGATTTACCAAGCAATAATTATACCTGACGAAAAACGAAACAAAAAAGTAAACCTTAAACGCCGTGCATCAGAAATTCTACAGACAGAATAAAATACATTAGGCATTGACTGAGTTCAAAAGACCTTTAATTTGGCAGGGTATAGATGGTTAGGTACTAGACTGTTAGCGGGGGTTTCCGTTTGTATAATTTTTCTGGTTTTACCATCCCAATTACCTTTTTGGGCAATGTGGTGTATTCTTCTAGCGTTCGTAGTAGCTTTTGATTGCTAGAAACTTTTGAAATAGTTTAGAAAATTGGGTAATTCGAACATTTTTTTTTCAGGGATTTTTCATGCATTTTTAACCAAACTGCTAAAAATTTTCGACCGTTTTGATACTTATTTTAGTAATTTTTAGTATCAAATAACTGCAGAAAATACGATAAAACTTATTTATATTGCGTTATAGAGATGTACGGGCTACCGAAAAAATTTGGCCGCGAGCAAGCCACCGCTAACAGAGCAGTACCGATTTTAAACTATGAAAATTCTGCATTTACTTGCTTTTTCTCACTGTTTCTCTCCGTCTCTCTCTCTCTCTCGCTCTCTCTCGCTTTCTCTCGCTTCTCCAATTTTTCTCGTTTTTCATCACTCAGCCTTTCGCATACCCTCAGGGCACACCCGGAGCCAGGCTCCGCCCCTTCACATCTGCATCGCGGCGGGACCCGCCCCCTTTCACCCTATATAAACCCCCACCCCCAGCCCTCAAACCATCTCGAAAACTTCGAAACAATGTCAGGACGCGGCAAGGGAGGCAAAGGACTCGGCAAGGGAGGCGCCAAGCGTCATCGCAAAGTACTCCGCGACAACATCCAGGGCATCACCAAGCCCGCCATCCGCCGTCTCGCCCGCCGTGGTGGTGTCAAGCGCATCTCCGGCCTCATCTACGAGGAGACCCGCGGAGTGCTGAAGGTGTTCCTCGAGAACGTCATCCGCGACGCCGTCACCTACTGCGAGCACGCCAAGAGGAAGACCGTCACCGCCATGGATGTCGTCTACGCCCTCAAGCGCCAAGGCCGCACCCTGTACGGATTCGGTGGATAAGTCTGATGACTTTCGACTGCTGCCTTCTTGACGTTCAGCGATAACAACAAAAACCCCTAACCCAACGGCCCTCTTTAGGGCCACAAATATATTAAAAAAACTTTTCGGTAATTCCCAAGGTCTGGAAAGGTCAAAATACCGACATTCAATCCCGACACCGCGTAGCCCCCGGAGAGATATAGTGAGTGAGTGAGCGAGAGGGAGGGAGAGAGATAGTGAGCGATAAATAGAGAGAGCGAGAGAAAGGGAGCGAGAGATAGACAGAGCAAGAGGGAGCAATAGAAAGCGAGAGGGAGAGAGAGATCGAATGAGAGAGAAAGAGAGAGTGAGTGTAAGAGATGGCGTTATATTAAGAACGAGAACGAGGATATGTGAAGCGACGAAGCCAAGGAATGCGAAAAACTAGAGAAATGAGAGAGATGAGAGAGTGAGAGAGAGAGCGCATGAAGAGAGTAGGAGAGAAAGAGAGAGCAAGCGTACACGAATAAGAGAGAGCGTGAGGGCGAGATGGTGTTAGATTGAGCACGCGAACGATGATCCATGGAAAAAACCCTCCTTAAACGATACAGAAGTTAAGGCCTTAAAAATGTCTAAATTTTCGAGTTAAAATCCTATTCTCTCAAATTAAAGGTGTTGTTAAGTCAGCCAAAGACTGCGGCCATCTATGGATTTTATTCTTTAGGTTTTGTGATGTTCCGGATTTAATAAAACCTTGTGTGGACCTTTGAAACAACGTCGGGCACGTTCTGAAACAGCAAAAATGCAGTTGCAAGCAGTTGGCAAGGTTCTGTAAAACACTAAAAAAGTGAGATCGGCAATGTAATGCCGCGCAATCCGAAAATGCTACAGCCCGCGTCGACAACTACGCCGTATAATTTGAGTATCCCTGCGGTTGAATTCGCTCTACGTCTGCGTAGAGCGCGTGAGCGTGAAAATGCGTCCCTGAAATATTCGGAGTTGCTGGAGCCGCTCAAGAGGAAATTTAGTATATTTTTAGTACATTTAGTACATTTAGTATTATTTTTAGCATCGCTTTTTCACTTTTAACTTACGTTTAGCTTAACAAACGCTCGCACCACAGAAATATCTGCCGAAGAAAAATCGAGATTTTGGCACCAAAATTTTTTAAAGTATTTTTTAGATTTTTACATGATTTCCGAGATCTATACTTTTTTAGATTTCCAAATTCAACTTTTTTAGATAATTTATGCCCTGAAATATAACTAAATTTCCTAGGAACTCTTTGAAAATACTTGCTAACACGTTAATAGGCATTTCTAGGTTTATACGCACCCGATAATGGAACAGTACCGATCTTCGTGCCTGGTTGGCTAAATTTTAAGCTTTATTCTTGTAAGCGTTTCCTCATTTCTCCATTTCCTGAAAAGGGTCCAGGCGTAGGCGCACAGATTATCGATTTTCCGCCCTGACCCGGATGACCCGTCCAGATGTTCATCGCGCGCCAAAATCTGACCCCCAGTGCATGGAGAGATGCCAAGTCCCGCCCAGCCCCGCCCCCTACCCACCTCCAGAATGGTATAAAAGGCCCCCACCTACCCCCATTCCCCATCTCGAACCCAACCAGCTCGAACTCAACCCGAAATGCCGCCCAAGCCGTCCGCCAAGGGAGCCAAGAAGGCCGGAAAGTCCCAGAAGGCCGCCCGCACCGGAGACAAGAAGAGGAGGAAGTCCCGCAAGGAGTCCTACTCGGTCTACATCTACCGCGTCCTCAAGCAGGTCCACCCCGACACCGGCGTCTCCTCCAAGGCCATGTCCATCATGAACTCGTTCGTCAACGACGTCTTCGAGCGCATCGCCTCCGAGGCCTCCCGCCTGGCCCACTACAACAAGAGGAGCACCATCTCGTCCCGCGAAATCCAGACGGCCGTCCGCCTCATCCTCCCCGGTGAGCTCGCCAAGCACGCCGTCTCCGAGGGCACCAAGGCCGTCACCAAGTACACCTCGTCCAAATAAGATGGTCGATCATCTTGTTTGATGCGAATTGGCTGGCATTTTCAACCAACAAAACACAACCAACCCCCAACCCAACGGCCCTCTTCAGGGCCACAAATATTTCCTAAAAATATATGAACTGGAAAACCTTGGATCTCTCAGTTTTTTTTGCATGCTCTAGAGTTTCTCTCACACACGCTTTCTCACTCGCTCTTTCTCGTTATCTCTCTAGCTCTCTCACTCTCTCTCGCTCTCGCTTTTCCTGCCCTCTTACACATATGCGCTCTTACTCGCTCTCTGGCCCTCGCCCTTGCTCTTGCCCTCTCTCTCTCTCTCTCTCTCTCTCTCTCTCTCTCCCTCTCTCTCTCTCTCTCGCTCTCACATACATCCTAATTCTCGCTCACATTCACACTCACAATCCATCCTTTTGCGCTTAAATTTTTGAGCCTACTCTCTGCGTAATTAGGCGAACACGTGCCACATTTAATATATGATTCTATTCAGTATATTCTGCACAATTCCTCGAATAAGATAACTATTTTTTAAAATTTAAATTTAAGGGAACTGGCAAGACAGCATAATAGACTTTTTTATAGTGTGACTGGATCTGATTCTGAAGGGAGTTAAACGAACCTGTGATATGTTAACTGACTTGGACTTTTCTGATCCCCTTAAAGACAATACTAGTAATACACAATTTAAAAAAATCTTAGAAAATAGAACAATTTATAGCGTCAATACAAGTTCACAATTCGTGGCGTGGCGTTCTTGCGACTGCTTTTCGATGCGAACGCTTGAGGCAAAGAGCTAATGAGGGATCATTACAGCAATTATTCCAACAATAACAATAGTTATACGGTAACAATATCAACAACTTGCGACGGGCGCCTACGATCGACTGGATTTGGATCAGAAATCGAGACGATGACGTGCTGTCTATTCTCCTTTTTCTCGCCGAATACAATGGTTCTCGTTTCTTTAGAAATCAATAACAGCATCCTGAAAAACGACATTTAAATCATGTTATAAAACTTTTTAACTAAAAGGGAAGTAAAGGCGATTACCAGATCGGCAGAAAATTAGCAATATCAACAAAAATTGGCGAGAATTCGAAGAATATCCATGCCGTTTCGAAGCTCTCGGCGTGAACGATGATCTAGAAAGCATGAAAAGTGTATATGTCAACGATATTAACTCAATACGTAAGGAATACGGTGTTTAAATTATTATAATTGATGAGTTTACTATAGCTTACAAGATCGATCGTATTTAGCAGCTGAGCGAGGAATTGAACAATCGTGACGATATGGTTATTGCTCTCTCGCTTCGGACCGGACTTCTTTCGATTTTTGGAGTATTTATAGAGTTTGTAGCCCGTGTATAAATTGACGGGTACGGTAAGACCCGTAAGGGTGGAGTATAACGGAAACTGGATCTGGTCGAGGAAATCCTAAAAAAAAACGGGCTGCAAAATATGCTTGTTAGGGTTTTTCGCTCAAATTTAATTTATTATTAATATTATTATTATTATTATTATTATTATTATTATTATTATTATTATTATTATTATTATTATTATTATTATTATTATTATTGTATAAATATAGATTTTATAAGTTGGGTAAACTACAGTACCTTTAACCCGTTTGTCGCCTCATCGTTTGGTAAATAATACCCGGGAAATAACTCGACAAATGTGCTAATATCAGTCAAGCACGGTAGAGAAAATAGAATAACGACCACAGCAACGATGAGGCAAATCTTCCAAGTATAACGGCACCAAAACTGGAATAGATTCATCATTCGTATGCCTTAATTTTCTGGCCCTCTCATATTGGTGAGGCTTTGCGAAAGCGCTGGCTCGATTCAAGGCGATCAGTAAAGTTCCGGAAACTTGGAACATCATCCCAAAAGTACCAACGAAAAACAGCATAGAGGGTACGAAACCATCCTAAAAGCACAAGTCTCACAAAGTTACGGTTGCGGGAATATAACCTGAATATAACGATACCACTCATGAATCCCCCAGGTCGGAAGTCGTACCCGGAATATCATGTCGTAATGGATGAGGAGGTCCTGAGAAATATATCGCGCCCTGTCTCTAACTCTCCCCGCTCTCTCTCTCTCTCTCTCTCTCTCTCTCTATCTCTCGGTATCTTTCACTCACTCACTTACGGTCTCGCTCCTCTCCCTCGCTATACCTTTCGCCATTTGTCTCTTTTAGTACTTTTAGTCTCTCTTTGTCTCTCTCTCTCTCTCTCTCTCTCTCTCTCTCTCTCTCTCTCTTACTCCCTCCCTCTATCTTTATCTATATCTTTCTCTCTCACCGTCTATCTCTCTCTCCCTCTCACTCTCGCCTTCTTCGAACTTACATTCGTCGCACAAACCAGAAACAACTTCTGGTACTGAGACTTGAAACCATGTCGGATATGATAAATCAATATTTTCTGGTACACAAATACAGTACAAAATCCTATCGTAATAAAAATACAACTGGAGCAGATTTCCCATGGGTCGATGGACCGCTGGTCTTCCGATCCCATAACTTTGCAGAAAGTGACCGAATGGGAATTTTCGGGGCCAACTGGTCAGCCTCCTGGTCGTAATTTATAGGGCGCCTTATAGAATACAACGGCGAAAAGAGTGAGTTATTTGACGTTTACAAGCATCAAACCCCAGGCTTTTTCAGAAACCCCAGGCTTACGGTAAAAGTCGTGGGAATGCGCTTTTTATAGATACTCGAAATATTCTTTTGTACCTAGCTATGTTTTGAAAGTATATTAATCATGAAATTTACCATAAATCACGTAAAGACGATCGAAAATGGAAGAATTTTTGCGAAAAATCGAAAAGATGAGCACCAAAAAAAGCTTTTTTTAGAAATTTACATAAGCTTGATCTAAAATTTTCATCCCGTAATTTTCGAGCGTTAAAAGATTTTAAAGATTAAGGCTAGGTTATAAAAGTATGTGAATATTATCGAACGCCTAAACAGTTTTATTTTAAATTGCATCGGCCACTTTTTGGCAAGGATGGCCTGGCAGGAAACTTGATATTTTTCTCAGGTTTTTAAAGGCAGTATGCTGCCAAGCAATGTAGCTGTTGCTCATGCCCATTTTAGTTGATGATCTCCGGATTGTAGGGCTTTTGCGAGCAGTTCAGACGCCTAAGAGCTTCTGAACTACAAAATACAACTCCTGACACTTTCTGCGAAACTGTTGACTCGTCGAGACACCGAGTCCAAACGTCGCAGTACAAAAGGAATTTTGTTTGCCCAACTTTGCACTCTAACTTTTTCTCTCTCTCTCTATCTCTCTCTCTCTCTCTCTCTCTCTCTCTCTTTCTCTCTCTCTCTCGCTCTCCGTCTCGCTCTTTCGCTCTTTCGCTCGCCGCCTTCTCAGTTTACCCTTCTCTTCTGAACGGCCCGGTGCCCGTGAAACTTTTTGTGTGATTTGTAGCGGCCCGAAATCAGCCGCTTTTCCCCTTGTCTATGCCAGTCTTCTTTTTCTGCCACAACACGCCCGGGTCTTCAGAATTGATTTTCTGCCCCTTCCTCGACTTCTTATGACTCCCCCTCCACGACACGCTTCACACTATGGGTCAATTCAGGAGAGACCGATTTTTGGTAGCACTATTTGATTCCTTTTATCTTTATAGAAAAGTGTCTCCAAATGTTAGGGCGCTTGGAGCTTCCCTACCAATACTACTTACAATTTGTTTTTAAGATACCCGATCGGCTACCGATCCGGGTCATTTCCGATTAATGGGAGGGGAATCAATCTTTTCCCGACAAGGTCCCACAACGAAATCATTTTTATTGTATTTAGCACAAATTTTAAATAGTAAAAACGCAGAAAAAAGCATAGAACTTTGGAACTTATCAATTTTTAGTCGGAAACCCGTGGAAAACGACCAAAAAGGTAACAATTTTCAAAGTTTCAAAAATGTATAAAAGGGTTTTATAATCCTGGAAGACAAAAACTAAACAAATACCTTGGAAAATACACAATGTGTTATTAACTGCGGCCGAAAAAAAAATCAAAATTAGCCCCCCCCGTTAAACGGAAAGAACCCGAATACGCGCCGAAAATACAAGTTTTCGTAATTTCTAACTAGTATAGGCAAATTCCGGAATTTTTTAAGGAAATGTAGTGCGTTCTAAAGGCGTAAAGCGCTTTACTATAAACCGAATCAAAATGGTTTTAGACAGAGCATCACAAATTAATCAGAAAATACAAAACTCTGAGAAAATTCGAAGAGGTTGTAGGTCCGGTCGTCGCCAAGTTAATGCTGGTTTTTGGACCCATTAATGCTCCACAAATTTCCTGCCATTTCGATATATACATTTCGATACCTTACTCATCGTAAACAGAGCTGTTTGCTCGCACATTCCCATTCCCATTCCCATTTTCCCATTGTCGCGTTGCTAGGGTGAAGCTGGCTGGGGTGGCGGCGTGTTTTCGGCATTCTGGGCAACACTCCAATATTGGACTAACGGGATTATTTTTTAGGCTTTGATACCTGACAGTTTCTTTTTTAGAATGCTGCACCGGCTGTGTTGTAGTACGTTTTATTGTTAAAAATTTGCCCTAAACCCTTGAAAGTTCGGTTGAAAAATTCTTTTTTTTTTGTTATCCCACCTTATCGCTAAAAAGAATTTTAGTTGCGTTATTTTTATTGATTTTTTGGAGATTATTACGTCGTTGAATAAGTGAATTTTCAGAAATGGGCGAGCCCAGCAATGACGACGAGAAGCCGAGGAAGCGGAGAGGAAAGAATCAGCCAAAAGGTGAGGAAAAACTTAAATAATTCTAATTTAATTTTTTAAATTTGACGAACTGTTGTTATTTATTCTATTGCTACAATTATGACGCCACAAAATTGATTATTAACAGCCAAATTTAGATTAAGATTTGCCATTTACAAATGATATTAGAAAAATTAAAAAAATACTTAAGGAGGCTTAGGGTGAAGGATATAATTCTTTTTGGGGATTCGGCATTGATACGCCTTATATACCTCCGATATTTGCCCAAAAAACCATCATCTAGCCGTCCCATATTTTTTTAGCGTGACGCACCGGGCGAAACGGGGCCATTTGGAAGGTTTCGCTGGGCTTTAGCCCTTTTTCTGGCGTAGCTTTTGGGCTTCGAATTTTGTAAAAGCTACTAGCCGTGATATTTCCTTTCCTTCAATTACTTGAATCTATTGCCCGTTAAATCATGCCATTTTTCGACGTAATGACCAGATATGGGAGGCCAAAGAGTAGGTGTTCATTTTAAAAAACCCGCAAAATTGGATCTAAGAATCATCAAAATGCGAAAATTTCTTAGTTAAATTCGAAAATTTGATTTCTCTGGCGATTAAAAACACATATCAATGAAGCTAATGTCAAAATTTGGGAAAAATTATGCATTAAAATTTAAATAGCTAAATCCCCGTTTTTAGAAGCGAAATGGCGACAACAAAATCTGGCCGCCTATCGCCCTGTTTTTAATGCCACTACGGTAGGTTTTCAGCGTTAGCCACGCATTAATGGCTATGGAAACTGCGACGGTAGCAAAATTACCAAGTACTCATTTCAGGTGTTCCCGTGGACCTGCCTACTCGGCATCATTTTTTTAGGGATCGGCATCCTGCTGTTTGTGACGAATTTAAATGGTAGGGTTTAAAAATTTTTAGCCAGTTTGAAAATAAAGTTTTACTGAATTCTTTTTAGCAAAAGAAATCGTAATCGACTATACGAATTGTCGAAACCCGAACGGGACGGATGTGAATGTGTTTGTGAAATCGAATGACAGCTCAACGGTGGAGTGGATGGAACCGAGGGAATACGAGAAGACTGAGTGCCAATTCCGCATCAATATTACGGAGGATTTTAATGTGAGTCAATAATTTCCAGCTAAGTAAAGAAAAATTGGTAAAAACTAGTAAATTTTTTGGAGCAGTTTCTTCGACCAAACCTCTGTTTTCAGGGAAAAGTAAAATTTTTCTACGGTCTCGAGGGCTTCTACCAGAATACGAGAATGTACGTCAAGTCCAGGAGTGATATGCAGGTTTGTAGGCTTCAAGCGATTTCGGTGCGCTAAACAAGAATTAAAAATCGAATTTCATTGACACAATGAAGGAGTGGCGCCCGCAAAATTGTAGCATTTCGCGGTTGTCTAACCCTACTCGGCTGCAGTAGTCGACTTACTTCCTAGTCCCTTTAAAGTCCATTTTCAGCTTTCTGGCAGCGCCAAATCACTGCAAGACACTGGTGACTGCGACCCGAATGACTATGACAACAGCACCGGTACACCGATTGTCATAGCGCCATGTGGGAAAATTGCCGATTCCATGTTTAATGGTAAGTTTAACTAGTAGCTATTGGGTTTAAATGGATGGTACCAGAATACGGCCAATACCTTGGAAAATCACGAGTTTAGATACCTTCCGACTGGTCTACTCGACCAGAATCCCGGTCCCGATGACAACAAGAGACATGGTGCATCCAGAGATGAGGAGGAAGTACAAAAACCCTCCTATGCCGATCGGGAGCACGAATCTTTGTGATGCGTTTAAGGTAAGTAACAATGCGCAGCGGATAAGTAGCTTCGACTGAACGCCTTGCGAGCGCGCGGCGCGTACTGATAGTTAACGTAAAAAGCGAGAGAGAGTGAGCGAGAGAGAGAAGATGAGAAAGCGAGAGAGCGTGAGTGAGTGAGAGCTAGAGAAAGATAGAGAGAGCGAGAGAGCAATCGAGCGATAGAGAGAGGCAGATCACCCATTTTAACTCTAGAACACCACCAAACCTCTAAGCTGGCCGACCGAGGTCTGCAAGATGTTCAACGAGTCCACGGAGGCCGGGCGGGGCTTCGAGAATTTGGATTTTCAGGTGAGGAAACCAATCATCCATCACGTAAAGAATAATTAGAAATCTAGAGTAAAAATAGAGAAAAATAAAAAACAATGTTGAATAATTCCGCTAATTTAGGTCTGGATGGAGCCATCAGCCTTGCCTCATTTCCGGAAGATCTATCGTCTCCTGGACCGTGAGGTAATTAAAGTTTATGGTTTTCATCTTGAAACGCATGTTTTGCCGCTGGTTTAACTATGGAAGTTTTTCAAACTCTAAAATCTCTACTAATCATTCCAGGCCCCAATTAACATGACGGACGTTGCGGTAAATTTTCTGAAAATCCTTCCACAAATTACCGTATCCCCGGCTCCGTACCTTTTCGTTCCATCCCAAAACCCTGTGTGCTTTTGGGAAATCTGGGGTCGCTTTTGTGTAGCCCGTAAAGCATTAGTCAAAAAAAACTACCGTCTTTTTAGGCCGACATCTTCTCGGATGGCTTGCCAAAGGGAGAATACACGCTTACGATCCAATACAGTAAGAATTTACAATTTTTTTTGGGTAATTTTTTGAATATTTAGATTATCCGGTGGAGCAGCTGAACATCAACAAAACTTTCATCATTGCGATTGAAACGTGGACAGGACCGAAGAATTTATTTTTGCCGATTGGTGAGTGATTTTGCAGAACCGGCTGTAAAATTAAGGGTAAAAACAAATAAAATTGGCAAAATCTACAACTAAAAATTTGTAACTTACCAGAATTTTCTAAGGTTTTATAAAGGGAATAGATAAATTAATTTACAACTTTTGAATTAATTCAGAAACACTAAGAAAATATAAATTTATAACTTTCCTTTTCAGCCTACATCACTGTTGGCATCATACTCCTCGCGATCAGCGCAGGACTGTTCGGACTCTATTTACGGATGCGCTATAAAGCTGATTAAATCCATTTTCCATACTTTTTGCGATTTCTGTGATTTCAAGCTTTAATACGGGTTTCCTCGGGTTGCATTTTGCGTGTTTAGTTGCCCCTCATCTTTGCTTTTACCTTCTTTTGCATGTCTCGTTCTGATAAATCCGTTCTTTTTCTAAATATTGTGGCAAATTCAGGCGCGAGAGCTTGCTAAAAAAAATGGAAATTGCGAAGAAAAGAGATACCGTCATCCCAAAGTGTTTACCAACAAATAGAAGTTACCTACTTATATATAAGTTGCTGCGTTAGGAGCTACTTATTTCTTTTGGCGGACCCCTGGACAAACCAAAAATCCCGCAGCCGCTTTTCGTAAGTGACGGAATTGAGGAAATGTCGCCCCGGGGGCCGTAGACAAAATATCACCTCCCTCGCCACGGTTCATCATCGATTTATATCTGAGGGAGAAAATGGCAATCAAAGGGCTCTCTCTTTATCTTTTGCTCGCTCACCCTCGTTCTCACTTTACTTCTAGCGCTCTCACCTCGTTCTCTCTCCTTCCCTCTCTATCGCTCTCCCCCCTGCTATCTCTCTCTCGCTCTCTCTTTCTCTCTCTCTCTCTCTCTCTCTCTCTCTCTCTCTCGCTCGTGCTCTCTCTCATTATACAGTATTACACTCGATCTCTCGCAATCTCTCGCTCTCTTATTCTCACAATTTTTCTACTCGTTCTCGCTTTCTCTCTCATTCTCCCTCTCGTTCTCTCACTCATTCTCATTCGCTCTCTACCTCGTTCTAGCATCTCCTTCGTGCTTCTATCTCTCTCTCTCTCTCTCTCTCTCTCTCTCTCTTTCTCTCTCTCTCTGGCTCTCTCTCCCCCATGTTGCTCGCTCTCTCTCTACCTCTGTCTAGTTGTATAATTCAGTGCTTTAACGCACAGTCATCTTGCTCCTTGTAGCATTCAAAATCTGGAAGTATATTTGCTTTATAACTTTATTCCAGGCCTCCGCCTCGACTTCGGGTTCTTCTATCCAAAACAATACGTGGATCCATTTTGCATCCAAACATGATCCCTTTAACCATGTGCTAAAAATCTAACAAATTTCTAAGGAATAAACTACCGACGTAACGGCACTGCCTAGAGCTTTGTAGGCTTGAATCGATCAATTCTAAAGGTGATTTTAGATCGGGAGTAATTATTACTGCTATGTATTGATGGAAGAAAAGGATACAAGACGCAGCCGATTATATTGAAAATTCCAGCGGCAAACCTGAACGGGGTATGTCCTTAAAATGTTGCTATCACCTTATCGAAATTTCGTTAAATTTAAATTTGTTGAAACTTCTCTTTGTCCAAAATTCATTTTGCCGAGAGGTAACCGTGACGACATTTTCGACATTTTGACGACATCAAATTAAGATAAAACCAGGGTTGAAAAGCCGCTACGCGACTTTTCAACCCTGGCCCCGTTTTGGGCCCATGATATTCTTCACTTTGCATAATTCGCCCGGGCTGCGATGAAAAAATAATGAAAAACGCTCCCTCTGCCCCTTAATATAGACCACCACCACTTCCGGCGTATGCAAATTGTTTCCTAACAAAGAGGATGCCCGAAAATTTCACAAAGACCTAAATTTAATGTCGAAAATAGCATAATTTGCAAAATCTGATAAGCTTGCAGTCATCCCAGAGCCATTACGCACCTAATGACGTATCATACATACCTAACAATTCATCCCCTATCGAGATATCCTCCGGACACGCTGACGGAAGTTGCATGCAAAGTGTCATACACACACACACAGACACTATTTTTTTATATATAGTAGGATCAATTTCGATAAAATGAAATTCTCGCGAAACGGTGCATTTTCTTTTAGGCATTTGCAGGTCCGCCCTCAGACTGCCCAATCCTCTTCTCTTCTGAGTTTTTCAAAGACTACCAGGGTTGAAAAGCCGCTACGCGGCTTTTCACCCCTGGCCTTTGCGGGGGCATCTCTAAAAGCTGCTCACTTTGCATAATTCTAGCGAATTAGCGCCAACCGCAACCAAAGAAAACAAAAGCGACCGAATGCGAGCGTGACAAAAACCGAAATGAGCCCCTTAACGGCTCGTATGCAAATGAGGACATTTCCATATGTTTTAAAAAGACTAAAATAAGGTATAAATCGTCATTTTCTTAAAAATCTGATAAGCGCGCAGTAATCTACGCCTTCGAATGCCCCTAAATACGTTTCAGTTGGCCCCGAAAACGCTTTTCCGGTCCTGATATCTCAATAACCCGGTTTTTTCGAGCCTTGTATGCAAAGTGTCTACACACACACAAACACTATTTTTTATATATAGTTGGATATACGTTACTAAAGATACGTTTTCTTCCGGGTTTTTAGAACCTCCACGTCTAGTCTTCCTTTCAGGCATCCGCCTCGACTTCTTCTATCTCTTCTCCTCGAGTTCTTCTATCCGAACCAATATGTGGATCCATTTTGCATCCGTGATAGAGGCCTTGTGCACCGTGTTCAAGTCCTAAAAAAAGTTCAATGCTAAGAAAAGACCTGCTTAGGCTAAGCTACCAAAGGACACCATACTACCGCGACCTTCGTAAGCTTGATATTTTCAATGTTGAAGACATTTTAGCTAGGGAGCAGCTACCATTGCTATGTATTGGGGAAAGAAAAGAATACAAGACGCAGCTCATCCGATTCTCGATGTATAGCGGGGTAAGTCAAACAAAAATTTTGATCAGTTTCAGCTCCAAATAATTAATTTAGGGAGTCCCAATCTGGAGGTGCTTGGAATGGATACCTATTCGACAGGCTTCGATAATTGTTTGGCCAACGGTGAAGCGAAAATCAAATAGGGCCCTGGCGCAGTGGACAAGGAAATGTTGGTATGGTTCGTTCCCAAAATTCAGTTTCATTTCAATTTTGTAAACAAAGTAGCCAGTAAAACAAAAAAATTAAACCCCTAAGGCTCTTTTCGGATGTCCGGAATATATTTGGATGTTTCCAAAAAAAAAACGCCCCCCTGGAACTAACGGAGAAGGATTGAATCTGAATGATAGTTACACGATTCGCAAGCCCTTGAATTTGTTGAACAGTCTTTAAAATCATTTTGATATTTAAACACGATATTTGATACCGCATTTAAAAAATAAAAGAACGGCTTCTGCGTCTAATTAACGGCTTCTTCCGTTCCTTTTATATGGAGAAACTGAGGCAGATTGGCTCGTGTGCTACCTCGACAAACAGCAAAGTTTTATAAAATGGCTTGTGATATGGCGCGTTTTAGATAAAACATGGTTTTGAAAATTTTGCAACCTCGCCGTGTCCAGGGCTTTCGAATGGTGTAACTATCATTCCGATCCGATACTTCTGCGTCGAGTTAGAGGGGGTATATTTTATCGGGACACCCTGTATAGTAGGATTTTTGATCAGTTTAATTTCCCTAGAACAGTGAATTTAGGGACTCCCAAAATGGGTTTGCTTGGAAGGAATATGATTATTCGGTAGCCCACGATATTGTTTGGCTAACCGATAAAGCAGAAAGCCGAAGCTGACGCTCCCGAGCAGCCCAGGAAATGTTAATATGGTTTGTAAAAAAATTCGTTGTGGGAATCTGTCAAAATCTCGAAAATCAAAATCTTGAAAATCAGAGACTCGAATTTTCAATTTTTATAATCGCGAAAATCAGAATCACGAATTTTCAGAATCACGAATTTTTAGAAGCTCGAGAGACCCATGGTCTAAATCAGCATTAGAGGCTTCGGAAATTACACTCCTACGCCTGAATCCGGCCTGGGCATATTTCGAAATTTTGAAAATTCGGGATTCTGAAAATTCTGGATTATGACAATTCGAGATTTTGAAAATTCGAGATTCTGATTTTCGAGATTCTGTTTTACGAGAAAAAAACACTCCTTGTCTAACTCGGCGCAGAAGTATCGAAGCGTAATGGTAATGATACCATTTGAAAGCCCTTCAAAAGGCGAGTTTGTTACAATCTTCAAATCCATGTTTTTGTTTATCGAATTCACGGCCATTTCCAGTCCTTTGGTATGGAGAAATTGAGGTAAATTAGCGCGTGTGCTACCTCAACAAACAGCAAAATTTTACAAAATAACATAAAACGGCGGGTTTTAGATAAAAACATGGTTTTCAAGGTTGTTGCAAACTGGCCGTTTCAAGGGCTTTCAAATGATGTAAAAAATCATTCCGATCCGATATTTCTGCGGCGAGTTAGAGGGGGGTGTTTTTGATTGGGAAACCCTGTATAGTAGGCTTTTTGATCAGTTTCATTTCCCTCTAGCAGTTCATTTAGGGAGCCCCAATCCGGAGGTGCTTGGAAGGGCTATGACTATTCGACAGGCTTCGATAATTGTTTGGCCAACGGTGAAGCGAAAGTCAAATAGGGACCTGGCGCAGTGGACAAGGAAATTTTGATATGGTTTGTTGAACAAATTCGTTGTAACTGTCCGAAAACCGGCGCTGATTTTTACCTCTACAGGGTGTCCCATTAAGAAAACACCCCCTCCAAATCGACGCGGAAGTATCGGAACGTAATGATAGTTACTCCATCCAAAGCCTTTGAAGCGACAAGTTTGCAACAAGCTTCAAAATTTTGTTTTTATTTAAACCCGCCATTTTATGACGATTTAAAAACATTAAAGAACGGCCTCGGCATCTAAATAACGGCCACTTTTGGTCATTTTGTATGGAGAAATTCAGGCTAATAGCTCGTATGCAACCTCGAAAAAGCGCAAAATTTTACAAAATGGCTTGTAAAATCACTCATTTAAATATAAACATGGTTTTGAAGATTGTTGCAAACTGGCCGTTTCAAGGGCTTTTAAATGGTGTCACTATCATTCCGATCCGATACCTATGCGTCGAGTTAGAGGGGGGTGTTTTTTATTGGGACACCCTGTAGAAGATTTACTTTTTGCCCTATTTATTCGTCGAACAACTGACAATTTTCAGCCTATCTTAAAGGGATGAGGGTATCTAATACCTCCGAGACCCGTACGCCACACTACTGCTTCGCTTTCCAGTTAAGGTACGGTCATTCTCATATCTTTTGTCGGTATTCATAAGCTAAAAAGGACAGGATGCCGCAAAAAACCGCCCCCTCGGCTTTCGGCCGTCTTCTATCCGATCGGGACCAAATTTTTACCAGCGATGGGGCCTGATAAAAACTATGTGCAGCCGAATTTTCTTAGCAAAATATTGCAAAACAAAAAAGTTATATCGAAATTAAGGTCTATTTTGCCGATTTAATTTAGGATTTAGGTTGTTCAGGATGGTGTCTTTTTATGATGATGTCCGTTTACCGGATTTAGACGGATGTCGGCCTCGAAGTGCTTAGCAAAAACTGAAGAGAGCCCCTGGGTCTACCCGGAACAATTTTTTGTTCTACGAATTGGATTGGGCCTTTTGATGAATTTTTGTTAGCAAAACAGGCAGAAATCGACCCAAAAATGGCCATTTTGCGGCAAGTTATTCAAAATCGACATGCTAATTGCGAAAAAATAGCCAAAAATGACTATCAGCGTTTCCCAAAAATCAGTTTTTTAAAGATAACTTTTTTGTTTTACGATATTTTATTTCCAAAATTCCGGTGCACATAGTTTTTATGGGTCCACATAGCTGGTAAAAATTTGGTGCCGATCCGATTGAAGACGGCCAAATGCCAAGGGGCGGTTTTTTGGGACACCCCGTATACCTTAAAGATTTAAGATACCGTGCGTCGCTTCAAATCGTGGAACAAGACATTTGACAGAATAAAAAGAAAATCAAGCATGCGCTGTCGCATTCTAATTTTTTAATGTTTTTTCGAGGCAAACCATGGAAGCAGGCATTTGACTTTTAAAGTTATCGAAATTTTACTTTTAGACGACCTTTTAGAAGTACAGTACGCTTGAAACTCGTATCATCTTACCGCAGATGTTTTACGTCAACTGTAAGCCATTTTGTACAGACGATAGATGTGTTATTGGTAGGACTTTGCTCGCATATTTCAACCGTCTGTTTTCCGGAGCTTTGGCATTATCGGGGGGGGGGCACTATCAGGGGAAAACCGATTTTTTGTTGAAATCCATACAGTCCCACTAACGTTATTTAAAATATTTCTGGGGTGTCTATAGCGTTTATTTTCATAGTAATATTTTATTTTTTATAATTTCACTATAGCCCAAATGGGAGAACTATTAAGGCTCATTTTAAAAATTTTACAAACTCAAAATTTTGGTCCGAAAAAGTCAGCATTTTTTAGATTATTTTAATATTTGCATAGTTTTCTAGCGTTTAGAAATAATAAAAAGTCAGAAACACTTCCTCTATATTTAGGTTACAAAAACTGTATTTGGAGGAAAAAAAATCGGTGTCCCAGAAGAGGACGAGCCCTGATGCCAATGGTTAGCCTGGGTTTGACGAGGTATGTCAGCTTGTTAAGTTTATTCTAATTTATTCGAAAATTTTCATTATTAAATTTTATAGCTGTTGAATATAGCTTTTTAAGGGAAAGCTAAACTGTGTTCATGGCGAGGCGTCAGCCAAAATCTCTGCCAATAAAAGGTTCAAAATCTGCACCTGCAACCCGCAGCCACAAACGGAAAAGCCCTTTTGATGGAGGTTTGGGTTTTCTATGACAATCCAGGCTTATAATCCTCCTGAGTAAGCCCGTAGCTAATTATTTGTTTGCAGAGAAGCGGCAGATTTTGTTGACAACGGCGGCGACCCGCCTGACCACAATTACTTGAAGAAAGGCACGACAAATTCGCGAGCCCAACCGTGCCCCAATGAACCTGTGTAAACTATCAGTAATCTATAAAAGATAGCGTTCAATCTCTTTCTCACTGATCAGATCAAATCCTGATCAGCAGCTAAGAAATTCATCTTGCAAACGATTTTTTGCATAAGCAGCCAAAATATTCGCCTACGAATATTCCAAAACCAGTGGAAAAAGACCGCTTCGCGGCCCTTTTCCACTGGGCCCTGTCCATGAACCATGAATTTGCATCCCTTTCTTTTTTTAGCCTGCGGCGCTAGAATCTGAGTCAAGGAGCCATTTTTTGGCCTGCGGCGCCAGAGCCAGCGTTGCGCTAGAATCTTTAAGCCTGCGGCGCTAGTTACTCGTTTTTCTCCAGGATCTGGCCTGCGGCGCGAGAGCCTGGGCCAAGGAAGGACCTTTTGTTTAGCCTGCGGCGCGAGAGCCCGAGCCAGGGGGAGCTTTTCTTTGGTCTGCGGCGCTGGAGCGAGAGCCAGGGCTAAACCTCCCACACTGAGAGCCTAGAAATATGTTTTGTTACCGCACTACCAAAAAAGCAAAAAAATTAAATTCTCCCAGGATCCGAACTACTGACCTCACGCGTGGTAGACCGAGCGCTAATCCACGACGCTAACGGGCACATGGGAAGGGGCGTCGGGAAAGGCCTGTTCTCTCCTGGGGAGACCCGGGCAAAGATAAGACTGACCAATCTTCCTGAGGGAGGCCTTCTGGTCACTTTACACAATTCTATTTTTGAGTTTGAATCTGTGGAAAATTTGCAAAGCTAATAAGATGCGCATGATCCCCACCCTTGATTGCATAAAAGGTCCAAATTTCAGCCCCGAATTCCATCAGGGCGTCGAGTTATGGCCTGGACACCACGGCCCGTTCCGCGATTTATTAAGGACCGTGCAGAAAAATCCTTATAAAAACTTTATCTTAAAGTTTTTTGCAAAATCCGAAAAAGCGTATCTGGGCAATTCCTTTTCCCATCTACCCTCCAAAAATGAGGCCCCAATTCCTTCTAGGCACCGAGAAAAGTTCCGGACAACGTGCGCACCCAAAAATGTTAAGGATCTACTATCTACTACATATAATAATTTTGCTGTGGTGTCTGTCTGTCTGTCTGTCCGTCATGTCCCAGATTCAACTCGAAGGGGAAAGGAGCTAGAGCTTAGGTCTCTTCGGATTCGGATAGAGCGTGGTCAGAAACCCCAAAACTGATTAAAAAATTATGAAAAAGTTTTAATTTAAATTATTAAAATTAACTTTGAAAGCGGCGCCTTAATAAAACGAGCCCCTTTCCCGGCAGGCCACGCCCCCTTTCCCCACCCCTCTTCACCAGGCCCTTTCCCGCGCCCAAATAGCTTTTGAAGTTACTTTAATACTTTTTAATACTTTTTAATTATGTTAATTTATTATTTAAATCATTTAAAGTATCGGGATGGAATCTAAGTAGTTTTTGAAGGGGATTTCAGCCATGGAGGGTATCTGAAGCCATCAGGAGACTATTTAGGTAGTTTTTGAAGGGGATTTCAGCCATGGGGGTATTGATGGAGGTAGGAAAGGATGTGGTGGAGTGGGACATGTGGGGTAGCCCGAAGGCCAGATGGTTGCAGTCGCGAAGCGACTGTAACCATCTGGTTTTTCACATTTTTGTTTGTAAAATCGTTAAATCAAAGAATTTCGAAAAATCCAAAAAAACGTTTTTTATAAATGGTATTTCCCACCCCATGCCAAAAATCAGCTCGAAATTCGGCCTGACGGCCGACAAAACGGCCGTACAGAAAACACACATACTTTTCTCGCTTATAGGATAGGATCGTTCAAATATATCCTCGATATTTAGATTCATCACCGACACCCCCGCTCCCATCCCGCACATAAAGGCCACGTCTCCCGCCATCGAGAGGAGAGAAGAGAAGACCGAACCCCGAGCCCATACCGTGCCCGATAAAAAAAGATGGAATTCTAAAAGACTATGTGAACCAGCAAGCTGAATATTTTACTCCTGCAAGCCGCGTCGTCTTGGCTGATTTGGCTCGGAACAATGAAAACTTTAAATAATTTGATTAAATTTTCGTTTATTTGGTAAAGGCATTGCAGCAGAGACATCACATTTTCCTACAGGAGGTTGAGAGCGCCACAATTTTTTAAGTGAACATTAATTCATAGGTGCAGTGCAGGTAGAAAAAAGCGAGAGCGAGAGAGAGATCGAGAGACAGAGAGATAGAGACAGAGAGAGAGAGAGAGAGAGAGAGAGAGAGAGAGAGAGATAGGTAGATAGATAGATAGATAGATAGATAGATAGATAGATAGATAGATAGACAGCTAGATAGAGAGAGAAAGCCAGAGGGAGAGAGAGAGAGAAGAGAGAGAGAGAGAGATAGAGACAGAGAGATATAGAGAGAGAGAGAGCGAGAGAGAAAGAGATAAGGAGATAGATGGAGTGAGAGAAAATGAACTAGAAAAAGCAGACTCGGTACAAAGTATATTTCTTGAATTTAACTGCCGTGCTCGCGTGCGCATCTACTAAACTTCCATTTTCTGATATCTCGTAAGGTTTGAACATTTGTTTCGAGTTTCCTATAACTATAAGTCCCTTCCGCGCCATTTCTGAAAGACCGGACCAACGACGAATTCCAGCCGGTTTCCGTAGACAAAACATCGCCCATCCAAGCACTGCCATCGATTTGTAATATTTGGGACAACGCGGGGCATAAAAATTGATGATTTTTTTGATGATTCTTGAAACCTCTCTTGTTACGTACGTACGTACGTCCTGCTACGTCTTTTTACTGTTTTTGCCGATCGTCAATCCCCCTATGCATTTCCCTTTCCTACTTTTTCTTTTCGGTATTGTTATAGTCATATTTCAGGTTTCCCCTTCATCCTTGGACTGTTATAACCAATGTAAATGTGGATCCATCAAGCATCCATATGCCAAGATGCTAACAAATACAGCACAAATTGACCAAAAGATTCGCAGGAAAAAAACAGTTATTAATGAAGGATAGAGGCGATCAATACTGATAATTATACAAATTGATGTACTAATCCGTAGGTTTTTGCAGTACTTGAGCAATAATCTTTTAGAAATTGAGCGATTACTGTTAACAACGAACGCAACGGGGCTTTTGGCAAAGTGTTTTACACCTAAATGCGGCAACAGGTGCAAACGGATTCGGAGGATGTTGCCGACAAAATCCGAGCCTAGACTCGAATAAAAGGTGCGTGTTTTCAAAAAAATTTCTACAGTAGGCTCAAAAAACGCCTAGCGTTCCGGAGGAGGGTCGAATTTTTACGATTCAGGTATCTATCGAAAGCTCTCAAAAAGCTGAATGCAGTAGGTGCTTCCAATTTTCGAAATTCCGGTTTTTTTTTGCCCGAATTTGCGGCATTTTTCATGCAAGAAGGTATGCTTTCTTCGAAACGTTCTATGCAATCGGGTTAGACGCTATCCAAGCCGTGTTTCTCAAATGGTTAGGAAAAGAATAAAGAAAAAGAAAACGATTACAGGGTGTCCCAATAAAAAAGGTCACGCTGACATCTTGAACTTGAAACGAAATTTTGAACGGAGTGGATTAGAATTTGAAGGGAATTTAGAACGTTAACAAAAACTTTCAGCCTCGATCAGTACAATAGTTTTCGGGTTATGGCAAAAATACCGCTTTCTTTTCCAGCAGTTTTGCTTCATTTTTCCGGCTCTTTTTGGACATTGCATTAATTAGCAGCAATTTTCGGAAATCCCTGATTCCTCTAAACGTATTTTGCATTTGATCAAATTTTTTTATTGGGACACGCTGTTTATCGTGAAAATCGGACACTTTCCCGGAACGTTGGAGGGGCTCGTTTTTGTAGACCCTGTATTCCAATAAGTCATAGATTGTATATTCACGAGCTGGCCACAAGGTACATATTCCTTCCACCGAACATGCTCACGGCCAAATACGTTTGCAGGACTGAAAACTGCTTGAAAAAATGCCTGTATGTCTCGGACTATTTTCTGGCAAGTATAAAAATATTTCTAGAAGCATCGAGGAAAGGGTCCAACAAGATTTTTATATTGACTGGCCCGCGTCGGGCGGAACCAAATCATCTGGACGGCTGGGTACTGCGTTGTATTAGGATCAATATCCCAAAAAGTTGTTAATGCTGGTAAGCTGGTATGTCTTTAAGCTTATGATCTTCTGAAATGATGACATCCAAACCGACTAATGACCCTTTTAAGAACGAAAATTTTGCAATGATGGAGTGCTGGGCGAGGATTTATGAAACCCCGGAACAACGACAAGACAAGACGACGAGACGGAACGGCGTCCAGATGATCCGGCCCAATCCAGTCCCTTTTCAATTAGGACCAACACCCAACATTCTTTGAAACAACGGTAGGTTTCTAACGCATAGTGTTAAGCCCCGAAAACTACCCTAATAAGATGGAATGCGTGATGAAGAGACGTTGTAGCGATCACCGAGCCGTCTGGCAAATTGTGGCTAAAAAAACCAAGACGATGAGGGAGAGAATAAGGTTGAAAGTGATTTGGATGAGGAATTGTAGGAATTTTTGCCTTTCTATCTCATCCATTTTAGGATTCTCGAATTTATAATACTCTGCTACACCGTGGGCTGAGACTCGGTGAGGAACGGCGTGAAACTGAGAGAGACGGAGAAAGAGAGAGAGAGAGAGAGAGAGAGAGAGAGAGAGAGAGAGAGAGAGAACAAGGGAGAGAGAGACAGACAGCCAGACGCTGAGAGAGAGAAGGAGAGAACAAGGGATAGAGAGACAGACAGACAGACGGAGAGCGAGAGAGAGAGAGAAAGGGAGAGAGAGAGAGAGATAGAGAGAGAGAGAAAGAGAGTCGTGATACATTTTGTGGTTTTCGCCTAATTCTTATCGAGACGTAAGTCAAGCTTTGCAGCTACCATGTGCTTAGTTACGTCAATTTTCATAAAGCAAACAGGGCCAGCAGCTGGATAATCGCCTAAGATGCTGCTTTGCTGAAGTGAAACGTACGTTTTATACTTTGCTGAAAATTTCGTGTTAGAGCGATCTTGAAGCGTTTGCAACCGGGATACTGGAAATTTGTGACGCCAGTCATATTAAAAAATGGAGAGAACGAGCCAGAACGAGCCGGACAAGAAGACGCAACGAGCCCGGCAAGTAACCTTCGTTTCTCAGATGTCTATCAAAATATCGAAATTTCACAATTTTAAAATTCAGAATGCCGAAATTCAGAATGTCCCAATTCAGAATGCTAAAATTGTATTGCGTAGGATTCGGGTTTTTTCAGGATTTCGACATTTTGAAATCACGACCTTTTAACGTTTCGACACTATGAAATTTCGAAACTAGAACAGCAATGTAAAGTTTGGACATTATGGAATTTGGAATTTCGCCATTTTTGGAGAAACCCGAAATGAAGACAATAATAAACACGCTTAAGAATTGATCTCCAGCATCAGGGAAACATCTACGTCTCAATTCACGCACTGATGGTCGCAATAGACACCATTCGTAAAAACATGGAGAACCCCCCAGGACGTCAGCAACGAGCCCGCGCGGAGCGGCTGAAAGTAGGTGCCGTTATATATTTGTTGGCTTAGGTTCAAGGTTAATTATCGTAATCCAGCTAGAGAAATAATAATTTAGGTGAATTAAACACGGCACAACGTCTTTTGCTCTTCTGAGGACAAAGAATATTAGTTGAATAGTAAAAGAAAGCGAAAAGGTAGGTAGGGTACCTTGGTCGGATTGCTTGATTTTTCAGGTATGGAAAGAGCCCAGCCGCCGTTACCGAAGCGCACTACCCGGGGTGCTTTCTGGTTGGGACCGAGATCTGTGCAAAATCGACGAAGGCGAAAAAGGCCCCAGCCACAAAGCCAAATGAACGCAACTGTCCACCATCAGGCCTTCCGGGCTTGATGGGTGTCTTGCTGCTTGGAATCTCCATAATGGTTATGAGGCCAACATCTTCAGAATTCACGAAGGTTTTCCATGAGGTCAGGTCAGGCTTAAAATTCAACATACTTTACAGAAAGAGTTTTGAGAGAGAAAACTTTTGAGAAGTTTGCCCGTTCTACGAAAACCTATCATCTTGCCGCCTGCATAGAACTATACCTGACCCGTTAAGAATGAAATGTATGTTGGCAGGAAAGCACCAAAAGCACTAGCAGCATATGACATTGCTATATTTTAAATCTCCGAAGAAATTTGACCCATATTATTTTATGCTCTATGCGTATACCAGTTTTGATCGTAGCAATGAGCAGAAAAATCCCCGACTAGATTCGCCTAGATACCACTTTTTTGTGACCAATGCATTTGTTCAAGAACAGGATCGGGCATCCAAAAGTTCTGGACGAAATGCAAACCATCACCAAACGGAAAAGGTCTAGAAAGATGAATTAAAGGTATCCATCCGATTTTAGTCGCTATCACCGCAGCGCTCATCATCTCACCTTACTTGTGAAGACCGACTGCCGTGAATGGTCTTCGAAATTTTCTGAAAAATGGAGAATCGATACGCACACCGGGATGGCTCTACAGCATCGAGTAGGCTCGAGGAAAATTTAAATGGAGCGTTGATGGCTGGCCAAAAAAATGTTTGCTTTAGGACATCAAAAGGATTATCAAAATGTTGGTGGATTACTCTGGCCGGACTTTGAGAAAACTTTGCGAAAAATGTGGATCGCAATAATAAACGCCCTAGGTAAGGTAAATGGCATCATACGACCGGTTTTTTGCCATTGTTTGGTGTTTCGAAAGTTAATGCCATAGGCGGCACTTCCAATCGTTGAAAGCTTTTTTCAGGTATTTGGAGCCCTTGGAACAAACGGTCCCATTCAAGAGATGTCCATCTGGTGGTGCTCGCCCGGAATTTTGGAATCAAAATATGCGCGAGATAGGCAATAACTCCTCTGCGGTGCGGAATTGAATTCCAATATGGATTGAAAAAGATAAGGTAAGGCATATCGACGTGATGCAGCTTTTGGAACGAACCTAGACGGCCGTTGGGGCTTCTTAGCAAGTCCCGTAGCCCCTCCCGCAAATCTGGCATTTACCAAAAAAAAAGTTGATTTTGCAAGACCCGAATTTTTTTATTCTAGCAAATTCAGAAGCATCTACTAGCCCTCGAAATGAAGAAGCGACTCCAAGCCGTCAGGGTGACCATGAGAAGTTTGGTGGCGGTCCGCGACCCGCATTAATGCCCCGATCTGGCCAGGTATGACAAAGGCGTGATCGAGAATCCCCAACGCTTTAGACACAATTTCCGGTTTCGAAAAGCCGTCCTTGCAGTCTCGATTTACCACATGGAGTAAAACATCCCGAACACACACGAGGCGCACAATGAGGGTTCCAAAAGAAGCGATAAACCTTAGCGGAAATTGTTCCCCTAATCTTACTCGCGTTCCACACCGTCATTTGGGAAAATTGGTAGGTATTAGGTTACTCTCTCTGATCTGCCTTGTAGCACATGCAAAGATATCGCAGTTAAAACTGAAAGCACTAGGAGATCAAACAATGGCGGCACGGAAATTTTCCGCGAAATAACTGGTTTGGATTTACTAGGATCAGATACCCGCGGGAAAATTTGCACAGTTTGGACCGACCATCTGATCTCCTTTCCGATCTACAGAGCTTAAATAATAAGATATAAACTTTTAAATGCGCCAAACCCCCCCTGACCCTGGCTCACTAGAGGGGGGGGTTCAAGGCTTGGGGCCCTTTCAGAGCGGTTCTGGGCCTGCTTCCCAGGTGGAGGGTCCGGTTCGGACCCGTTCCCCATTCTTTGCTTTTGCTAATTTAGCGCCGCACATGTGGCGCGTGGCCAGATTGTTATGCACAGCGTTTACGTACATCCTAGAATGAAATTCAATGAAATCATAAATTTATGAAAAGTTCATAGAACACTAGTAAAAAATTGTTAAAACCGGTATTCCGTAAGTCGACCGCAGCAACCGGCCATCTGCGTGTAGCAAAAAACACAATCTGGACACGCGCCACATGTGCGGCGCTAATTAGCAAAAAGCAAAGAAAATGCGCGGGCGGGTCCGAACCCGACCTCCACCTGGGAAGCGAGGCGCCAGTGCTACCGCTGTCTGGAGGGGCCCAAAGGCCCTTGAACCCCACCCGCTCTAGTGAGCCGGGGTCAGGGTGGCGGGTTTGGCGATTTAAGTTTAATATCTTAATTATTTGCTCTGTAGCAATTCGGAAAATGAGGCGATGATCAGCATGGTGGTTCCATAACTGTGCAAATTTTCGCCCGATTCGTGTTGCGGGTATCTTGGACTTCCCTAGTTAGGCCCTAATAAAAATTGCCCCATAGATAAAAGAAGCCGTTCCAGCACGGAGGATCTTGGATTGATTTTGCGATCCTCCTATTTCTTACTTCTACGACGTCGTCGAAGCTGCCGGAGGCAGAAATGGATAGAAAATAGGGTACTGGACTGTTAGCGGGGGAAGGGTTTGACGGAGGAAAACAATTTTCACCCCCCGCCCCGTAATGCTGTACGCCCTCATAACGAAATCTAAGCAATTTTTATAGCACTTTGTAGGGTTTTAAATTTTAAAAAGTAAGTTAAAATTTGATTTGCATGATAGAAAAAACGTCTCGAGTACGCTTGGGGGGCGCAAATGTCGAATTCGCAAGTGGTTGGCATCCTGCCGGACGTAACCGCGGGTCCCTCTTCTGTCGGCGCAATTTCACCATTATTCGACGTGAGCTTTTATTTTAAATTCAGCTACCCCCAGGGCTCACCTCTTACGAAAAATTATAATTTAGTAGGCGCCAAGAGAAGCGATGACCCTTAGTGGCCCTTGCCTACATGAACCGACTGGCGTACTTCACCGGATGGTAACGGTGGTAGGTATTAGATCAATTTCTCAGATCCCTCTTGTAGAACATGCAGGGGTATCGCGTAGAGTTAAAACTGAAACCATTAGACCATGGAATAATGCTGGACAGGATTTTCCGCGAAATAACTGGTTTGCATTTAGGCCCTAATAAAAATTGTGATTGAAAACAGGAGCCATTGACGAACGGGTCATTTTTGCGACCCTCTTGCCTCTCACCTCTGCGACACAAATGGGGACCGGATGCAGAAATGGAAAAATAAAGGGGTACTGGACTGTTAGCGGAGGGGCGTCGCCTATAGGTAACTAAACCACGTAAAAATTGTTGTACGACCATTTTGCAAAGTTTTTAGACAGGAAAAGCACATAAAAACCACTAAAAATATTGTCTTTGTAGACAAAATGGATAAAATGTTTTATTTTTACTAAAAATGACCCAAAAAGCGCAAAAATCCAAACATTAAAAAAAATGCTTTTCTAATATTTGGAGCATATTTCGTATTTTTTCTAGCATTTTAGCCATCAAAATTTACTAAAAGCACTATAAAAATACCATATAGATATATTTTGAACAGCTGGGCCACGGCCTAGAATTAATTTTCCCACCCCCCGCTAAGAGTTCAGTACCAATAAGATCAAGATTGCCGTCAAGCACGGTATGGGACTGCTCGATAATACTACTTTCTACGCCACTCAAGAAAAAAAAGAAGCCAAGCAAAGAAAAAAAAAAAAAAAAGCTCAAAAAAGTAATAAACCACACAAAAAAGAAAAATAAAAACTTGAAAGAATAAAAATTTTTGTGACATATTTATGCAGCGCGATACTGACACTCCAACGAGTAGCTCCAGAAAACACGGGAATATTGTGGATCCGTCCAGTTGTGTTTACAGTACGGCGGGCGGGGGAGGAGGCGGTGGTGGCGCATCGGGGATCGGTGGAGCGCCACCGGACGTCGGAAAAGAAGGCGGAAAGGAGGGCGGGGTTGGGATCTAAAGTATAAAACGTATGATAGCATTTAAAGGGATACCCAAGGTTTTGGTGGCAAATATATAGTTATGTATTCCGGGCAGTACAAATGACGCAGGAATTTTGTGTGGCAATGAGGTGCCAGTGCCGCACAAAATTCGGCCACCTTTCCCTCTTGTGGCGTCCCGATCCCACCCAATGGCTTGCCACTATGGCCTAATGGATAGCATCCTGGCTTACAAAACGGGGGTCCCGGGTTCGACCCCCGCCCGCGGTAGGGTTTTTGCTTTTTGAGCCCCGAAAAGGTTGGGCATCCCTTTAAGGACCTATTGAAAACGCTTTTGCAAACGCGCATGGAATTAAAGATTTTCTATCAGTTTGCCGAAAATTTTGCCGAAATATCATTTTGCCGGAATTACATTTTGCCGAAAATTTTGTCGAAATGTGTTCTTGTAGAACTTTCATTTCGTCAAAATTTCAGAATGTCGAAATGTAAACTATCAGAAATCTATAAAAGATAGCGTTCAATCTCTTTCTCACTGATCAGATCAAATCCTGATCAGCAGCTAAGAAATTCATCTTGCAAACGATTTTTTTGCATATGCAGCCAAAATATTCGCCTACGAATATTCCAAAATCGTTCAAATATATCCTCGATATTTAGATTCATCACCGACACCCCCGCTCCCATCCCGCACATAAAGGCCACGTCTCCCGCCATCGAGAGGAGAGAGAGAAGACCGATCCCCCGACCCAATTGTTTCGCCCATTTTCGTGCCCGATAAAAAAAGATGAAATTCTAAAGGACTATTTGAACCTGTGCACGCTGAACATATTACTGAAATTTAAACAAGCTAATTTCCCGGAAAACTCCCGAAATCCTTGGCAAAAGGTTTCGACGTTTCAATTTTCGACATAATGAAATTTCAAAATCAGGAAATGCCGACATTTTGAAATTTCGACATTATGAATTTCGACAGGATGAATTTCGACATTATAAATGTTCGCATTATTAAATTTCGGCATTGTGAACGATGGCATCAGATTTCGGCATTATGAAATTTCGACATTATAAGATTTCGAAAAAATTGTTATGTTTTTTGCAGTTTTCCCCTGCCACTATTGATTTAAAACGCCGCGTTTGAAAATTAGGGACCAGTTTTCTTATCTTAAAACGTGCGTAAAGTGACATTATTCCGGAAAAGCAGCCCGTCAGGTTAGCCGTGCAATGGAGTTTTTTCGCGGACCGTCTGCTGGTGCACTCGCGATTATTCCGTTTTACTAGACTATTTTATGATAGAATTTAGAACGTTTGAACAATCGGACGCACCGCAACACACGCTTTCACAAAATTTCACGAAAAAAATTAACAAAATTAAATACTGACCGGCGGCATGCGCGTCGTCGTTGAGCCGCCGCTTGGATTTGCCGTCATTCCTGAAAAATTGTGTTATAATCTTTATTAACAACGTTAAATATAGATACCTATCAAAACCGAGTAATTTATTCAAAACCCCACCAGCAAAGTGATCCTTGATAATATTCTTCACCATTCCTTTGTTCATCTTGTTCACAAGCTTCCGCTCCATCGAAACCGTGCCGTCCGGATGAGTTGTTTTGATGATTACATACCTGGGAAAATGTTGACTCTAATCAGAAAATCTTATAAATTCGATTTTAATGTCTCTAATAATTCTACTAAAATTATAGAAAACTAAAAATGGGTTAAATAGAAAAGCAAAAGTATAAAAACAAAATGATGACAAGCTAAAAAATCTATTAGAAGAAAATAAAGGTTTAAAAATTGTTAAAGTAATACAGAATAACACCTAAAGAAACGCTAAAATGCAGTAGGTTGAGTGTTATCAATTTGCTGCAGAACTTGAGACAGGATCGACCAATTTATTCTCTTTTTCCGACTAAGTACAAAGTACGGATGAGTACAGATGAGTACAGTAATGGACAGGTTTTTTAGTACAGTATCCTCTTCACTCCATCCCCGCCTTCTTCAACCATCCGTGTAGAACATCCAGCGGCGCCCTCCCCTCAATATCCCAGCGTCCATTGGTGCTGATCGTAGTCCCATTCGGGGCGACAACCACGAGATTCGGGATGCTATTCAGATGCCATTTCCGCGCCAATGTTCCTATTAGTGCGTCTTTGAAGGGCAGGCGGAGCCAATTTCCGTGCGCATCACTCATGTAGTCGAGCATCTCCTTCTCCACCTTGTCGTAGGGAGCCCAAACTATCTCGAATTGCCCGGTCGGATATACTGCCTCGTAGAACTCCTTGAGCTTCGGCGTAAAAGCTCGGCAATGATCGCACCAATGCGCTCCGAAATAGTAGCCGATCAACTTCCCCTTCAGGTCTTCCGGGGAGAACGAGCTGCCGTCTCGCTTGAAGAGCTTCTTCCTCTCCAGCTCAGGGGGTAGCTGGCTGAAATTCACGGGATTAGACCGACACCAAGAACCGGGGGTTAGAAATGTGCACAGTAGTTGGAGCTGATGTCCGTTTCCGCCCCTACTCATCACCTAAGAAGGATGGAAAGAAGCGCTACGACCAGCGCCATGGGAATCATCGTTAGGAAGAGCCAGAGGAGATCCGGTACGCGCCGCGACTATTGACGACCCTTCAAGGAGCGCCCACTACTGTTACCGAGAAATGTGCGAAAAAAGAAGGAAAGGATTTTCCCAGATTTTTGTGCGAGATTGGAAAATGTTTGTGTAAAACCCCCTGTTTGATTCCCTTTTCCTGTAAAATGTTACACTACGGGCCCGCTTAGAAATTTCATCAATTTCCGCGTCTTTTGTGTTTTCATTCAGGACTTTTTCATACTCTCTTCCTCTCTTTCTTTTTCATACTCTCTTCCTCCCCCATTTCCTTTCCCCGTATTTCGCCCTCGTCCCCATCGTTTTCCCCATTCGTGTCCCCCGTTTTTTTTTCCCTTCCCCGATCTCTACCCGTTCTGTCCTTACTAACGCTTTATCATTTTATCCTGATTTCTGTAAAAATAAACTAAATTACTATTCTCATTATCTTTAAATACATTCTAACACATTAATTGGGTTTTCTTCTTGTGTTTTCTACTTCCTGACGTCATTTCTGGCGTAGTGAGCTGATTTGTAGGTCTACAGGAAGACCCCACTTCTTGGCGTCGTATTTGTTTGGATTGGAAAACTGTCTGCTGAAAGGAAGCAGCTCGCATTCCGTGGATTTCGCCTTTTTGTTTGGCACCTCGGTGTCCAACTCAGTGATTCGAAAAGTTTTCTTAATTGGCGATGAGGTTCCCTGAGCTGAACCTTGGACCATTAATTTCCAACTCTTTTGATGTGAAATAAATTCAAAGTTTTAATAGTTTTTGTGGATATTTACGAGAACTTGCTGGCTCGATGGAGACGGCTGATCTATATTTTTTTGATCGAAAATCGATTTTAGATATAGGATGCGACGCGGCCGTGGCGTAAGAGAACACGCATTTTTAGCCAAGCGTCCAAGACAGCGACATTTTAAATCGCTACTTTGTATGTGGTGATGTTCCTTACTTGGGATTCCCGAAAAACTACTTCTTCTAGCGATCAGGTATCGAAAGCTATCTGCTAACGCAGGAACCGGTACAAGTTGCATTACATCTTCCCCCTCAAAATTTCAAAATCATGTCAAAACTTCGCGTCGCGTCTGATCGTCTAAATGAAAGTTTGAAAAACCACAGAGAGTTTGGGGCGACACCGCGGAATTATCAGAGTGAGCACCTACCGAACAAGCGGCTGTCGCTTCTTTTTTCACTTCAGTCGCTTTGATAAAATTCTACATACTGCTTGTTTTTTCTGCAGATTTGAACAGAACAAGTTTAAGCATTTTAAGGGGGCTCGAACGCACGACAAACTGGTTGCACAGATCACATTTTTTAGCATTGTCGTTTCCTGACCGACAGGAGGCATAAAGTTTGGCACTTCCTAGTCTCTTTAAAGTTTTTCAACCGGGTCTAACAAAATCAGGGCAAACGTCTAAGGTATGGCCGTGCGCTTAAAACACAACTTCTAAAAATAGAGGCTGATGGCCCAGTTGAAAAACCCGTGCGCTCACCTCATAAAAGCACCATTGCGTTTCCGCTCCTCCTCACTCATCGCCGCGCCATCAGCCTGCACGGCTGTCGTTGTCGTAGTCGTAGTTGTTGTAGTGGTCGTCGTTGTTGTAGTTGTCGTGGTAGTTGTCGTCGTCGTCGTTGTAGTCGTAGTAGTGGTAGTTGTCGTGGTTGACGTCGTCGTCGCCTAGAAGACCAAACTTTCCCAATTGTCGCTCTGCCTTCGGTGTGAATGAGTGGTGCTCTATTTAGCCATTTGACCAAATAATATGCGGGCCGGTGGAATTAGGATAAAGCTTTATTAAGCAGATTCACTGAAACTACAGAGAAATGAAAGAAGCGGATGCTGGGAGCGGCGGGGTTCAACCAAAAGAATGACATAGAATTTGCTCAGCTTTGATTTAGTACCTCGTGGAAACGTTTAGAAAAGTTTTTGGTTTTTTGTAGACGAAAAAGTATAACTTTGCGCTTAAAAGACGTAACAATCACGAAAAATGCTAATTTAAGCGGTAGATGTCCCCGGAGTGATAAGACCATCATCTGAGGTGGTTGTAGAGACCTCGGTGGTCGTCTCCATATGGGGGACGAATCCATTCTCCAGCTTCTTGTCGGCGGCGAACATCATTGGGTTCATCGGGGAGACGAGCGGATTGCCGGGCTGAAAAAAAGACCGTTGCTCTCTCTATCTCACTCTCTCTCTCCCTCTCTCTCTCTCTCTCTCTCTCTCTCTCTCTCTCGCTCTCTCTCTTGCTCTCTCGCACTCACCCCCTCTTTCTTTCGTACACGCAATCTCTCTCGTGCTCTCTCTCGCTCTCTCTCGCTCTCTCTCGCTCTCTCTCGCTCTCATCTTTCTTGCTCTCTCTCTCTCTCTCTCTCTCTCTCTCTCTCTCTCTCTCTGCCTATCGTTTCAGAAAATTTGACGCTTACCAAGCTCATAGATTTCGCGTAGGCGTTGGCGGCCGGCATCACGGGGGCCTAAAAAAATTTTTTCCAGTGAAAAATTAATTCCGAAAAAGTATTATTTCCCAGAGGATACTGTATTCTAATTGGCTCTTTACCATAAACCATCGATCGTTGTTTCCAGCCTTCAACTTCTTGCTAAAAACTCACGGGCTCGGCGATGGGTTCAGGCTCGGGCTCTGGGCAGCTCCGGGGTGGCACTCCGTACCCTAAAAGATATCTCGTTATTATCGCACCCCCAGTTCAGCGCTACCTGATGGGTAAGCCTGGCCACCGGCCCCTTGGGCGAAACCGAAAATGGACAAATTAAGCAAATCATAAACACTCGAAACACGCGAAAAACATACCGTACCACCACATCAAACGCTATACCACAGAATACCACAAATTTACCAACCTGAGCCAGCGACAGGGTAACGCTGGCCGGCTTTCCCACACCCCGAGTCGTAGTTCAAGTTGAAGCTGGAAAAATAATAGAGGTAGCTAGGAATAAAGTTGAAAAGCTTCTTCAATGGGCTAGAGATTTGCCAAAAATTCCTACCATATCATTACAAGGCAAAAAGCATCCTAACGCGAAAACTAGAGCAGCAAAAAAGCCATATACGCTGTCTTCGGTATATGCCAATTTCACTTCCAGAACCTATCAAAACCCAACCAAAAAGGTACAGAAAAATGAGAAAAACTGTCTCGAACGCCGAAGCGTCGTATATTTCTGTTTTGCCTTCGGTTACGGTACTTTGGCTGTCAGTATTCTGCCGCCCGATAATGGCTGAATTTTATTCCTGGAAGATCTAAAGAAAAACTAACTGAAAAGTCTGAACAAAAGATGCAAAGGCAAAAAAAACTGCTGCCTCGACAGCCAAAAACGATCCCAAACCGCAAAAAGCCTACGACACTCGGGATTCCCAAGCCGTCTCCGATCCAAGTACTAACCGAGCCCAACGTTGCTTAACTTGGCAGATCGGACGGGATGCCGTGCTTTCAACGTGGTATGGTCGTAGGCGAAGCGAGATCGGGGGAGAGGGGGTGAAGTGTTAGGGGTGGAGGGTAGAGAGAGCAGGCGTTCCGAATTCCTCATCCCAACCTTTGCTGATACGATAGTGACTCTCTCCTCTTCAGCCCCGCTTCCACGTCTCCCCTCGCCTACGACCATACCACGTTGAAAGCACGGCATCCCGTCCGATCTGCCAAGTTAAGCAACGTTGGGCTCGGTTAGTACTTGGATCGGAGACGGCTTGGGAATCCCGAGTGTCTTAGGCTTTTTGCGGTTTGGGATGCGGTTAGCCCTTTTTTCCTAATTATTTTGCGTAAATTAGTTTTTAGGGTTTTTCAGAAGCGAAATTTTATTCCGGTTTTGGTTTAAGAAGCGCAGGAAGTTTGGAATTGAAACTAATAGTTTTTCACGCTGAGGATTGAGAAAACTGAGAAAGTTTTTGAGGATCGTTGAAGAAACGCTATTTTGTAGTATTGGCATCCCTAATTTTTATAAGGCGAAATTTTAAAAGAATTCAGGATTTTAGATTCGAAATAACGATTCGGAATATATTTGGGCTGGAATTTGGGCATTTTTGCTGTCGGTATTCTAGCGTATCCAGAATCTGGTCGAAATTCCAAAACGCTGCGATCAACAACGCTTACGCAAGGTTCATGTTCGTCCTGGCGTACGGGTTATAACTAGGCATCGGCATCGCAACAGGCTCAGGACGAGGTGCCATATAGCCACCAGGCATACCGTAGCTGTTCGCCCATTGGTTGGCCCAAACATTGCCCTGAAGGGGATAATTCTAAAAATCGGTTTGCTGGGTTAGACAGAAGAAGTTGAGCGGGTTAGTCGCTGCTATCACCGAGCTGCTGAAGAAACTTACAGCATAGGGCGTTCCCTGTTGCTGGGCCTGGGTGGCGATGACGCTTTGCGTGATCCTGTTCAACTGGGCCAAGACGGCGGGTAGAGAAGCGATTTCGCCGGCTGACATTCCGGCCACTAAAAAGTTCGATGAGAGGAAGCTTTTTCGTTTGTGTTTGCATTTCAGTTAAAATTTTTGCACACGCTACAGCTGCACTGGCTCGTTAGCGGGGGGGGGGGGAGGGGCTAACAATAAACGGTTGATTCCGAACTCGATAAGGTCCTCTTAAGAAGGGGAAAAGATAATTTGGATATTCGGATGTCATTCGGCTTTATCTCGAAATCTGGAACCTTGAAAAATCGAGAAGTTTCGGCAAATATCCGGAATCCATATTCAGCAGCATCGATTTTTCAGTTCTAGAGAAGTTCTATATTTCATATGAAACCGAGAAATGGCTTCAAAGTCATTTTTCGCTATTTTCCTGTTTTTCTTGTTCCTGGGTTTTGCAGATTGCCAGGACTCTCCGCCGGATTTCCCATGCCTGGTAAGAAGACGTACGAAAATTCAGTTTCTTTAACGTGTTTAGAACCCCTTTATGCCCGGCTGCTTCGACCGACGTCAAAAAGTAGCGAAAACGGCTGATGGGGAGGATGGATGGTTTATTTGTGGCGCTGAACTGCACCGACACGAGTGCAAAAAATGGGAGTCCTGTGCTCAGGCAAAAAAAATTAAGGCTGTGTCTAGGCGTATGAGTTTTAGAAAGGACTCGTGGTTAAGTGTTCCCAGCCTCCAGAAGCGCCAACGGGGTGCAAGGGGGATTGCCTTGTAGGTTTAAACCTATTTGAGCTTCTTTAATTTACCAAAATTTAGATTAATTTGAAAGTCAAAATTGAATTGATTAAATTAAAGCCGAATCAAACCATCAAAATCAAAACAAAAAAACAAATCAAAAAGGTTTTTTGAGACATTTGAAGACTTTTTAAGACGCTACTGACAAGTTAGAGAGACGCTTTTCAAACTGATTAAAGTTAACCATGTTTTCCAGAAAAACGGATGCGATTGGGGTGAGCGTTGCGTGATTTTCTCGGGCCATAAATGCCCGAGGCACTGCCCATACGTTTGCGAAGCTACTTGCAGAAAATCTTAGTGAAAGAATAAAGTTATGAAGTTGTTGTCTTCTCTAAAATCATATGTAGCCTTCTGCTTTCAGCTTCTTTTAGCTTTCAGCCTTCTGAAATAGCCAGATTTGCCTACGGTACATTTTCTATGTTCAAAAAAATCCCGGATACCCAATGGGTTTTTCACTTCCGGCTTGAAAATTCTAACGCAACAGATTTAAAATCCGCCTCCAGATGGTTTTTTGAATTTAAAATGGGCCAGGATACTTTCAGGCGTACCTGGAAAAGCGCCACCAACAATAAAAACGCGTTGTATTGTTTTTTGAGCAGGCCAAACCACGAGGTGAATTTTGAGAAGTTGGAGGTACAAAAGAACAAGTTTCTCTATGAATATCATTCTGAAAGATGCAACGATTCCTAACTTTTACGGTATTGGCTGCTATCTATACGGCAGTTCAAGCTCGGGTAAGAGCTAGTCTTTCAAAATGCGAAAACCTTGAAAAACCAGGCACCATTCCTCCACGATTCCGGATTTCAATGTGACGCAGAAACTCATAAGAAGTATTGCCCGAAGAAGTCTTACTGTCAACAGGTAAGGGAGAGAGAGAGCGAGAGAGCGAGAGAGAGAGAGGAAGAGAGATAGAGAGAGAGAGAGAGAGAGAGAGAGAGAGAGAGAGAGAAGAGCGACAGCAAAAGCTAAAAATCTCGAATTTTTTAGTTCGAAGTAGGTGGCGAACCTGTATGCAACGTCGAAAGCTACCCAGACGGATGTAAAGGGGATTGTATTGTAAGTTACAAAGTTCGAAAAGCAGGTCAAAGTGTTTAGGGAAGCGGCTGCGACTGGGGAGAGCGCTGCCAGTACAAAGCCGGAAACCCGTGTCCCAAATGTGGCAGGGTGTGCGTGGCGGAATGTAAGAGGCAACTCGCCAGTCTTGCCGAATTTGTGGATAACATGCCGTAATTGGATAAATATTTTGTGTTGGAAATCCACCCTCAATTTTTTCAAAAATGCTTGCACTGAAAGCTTCGGTATAATTTTTCGAAAAACACTGGCTAGCAAAGATTCTTTGGTGGGAAAAATGAAAAACCAGCCTGGCACTCCTGCGACGGGCATCGCAGCCATCGGCATTCCTGCCATTGGCATAGCTCCAGCAGTTGGACCCGCGATGGCGATTTGTCTGGTGTGACGGAGCCTCCTTGCAACATCCAACCGCAGGAAGTCGTCGTACTTCTCCACACTGGCGTCCGTTTCCCCGCTATCCTCGAGAGCTTTCAGGCCTTTTAACTGAAAGGGGGAAGTTTAGATTTATCGCTAAAAAGGGCGTTCAAGTAGTGTACTTTGACTTTTTTACTCCTTTTGAAATTTTGCGACGATCAATCGACGATCAAGTTCTCTAGAAAAAAAGACGATCCTTTACGGAATTCGTTAAATATTGATTTTTATGAAAAATTGCATGCTAAGACGCATGAGAGGCACCCCGAGTTGATTAATTCTTGACAAATGCTCTCTAAAATAGTCCAAAACGCTGTAGGCCATTTTTACGCGCTTCGCTTGCTTTGGCATGACGCGCGGTTTTCTAGACGTAGAAGATGTTTTCTGTTGGATTACTAGCCGTTTCTTGTGGAAACAGTTAAAATAACCGAGAAAATGAGCGCTAGAGCTCATTTTGACCGGGAATTGACGGCGCGTAACAAATATCACGCGCATTTGGCCGCGTAGCTTGGCGTGGAACGCAGCTTATCGCCAAGCGCAAGAAAAAGTGTGTGTTTTGAAGCTTTCAATGGATTGATAAATGATGATGATAAAATTGAAAGCGATCTATTTATGTCTTTTCCCGCCAAAAAATATGCGCGTAATTAGGCTCCGACTCGGCACTTTCTTGAACTTGGTATTTTGGACTATCAGAGCAGTTTCTAGCGAATTTTTATTATTTCGCTACCCAAAACTAGCATATTTTGTACTCGAAACTCACGTTGGATCCGCATACCGTAGCCAAAAACACGGCCCAGCACAATATCCGCCACATCGCGTAGTACTACCGCTTCAACTGGCGCAGACAATGACGAAGCCCGAGATCAAGGATGGATTCGCCGGACGCACTGCCTCCGCACTACACCCACTTCCAAAAAACGGCAAGAAAAAATTGCGCTGTCGTTCGATCCACGGGGCGACTGTTAGGGGGATATGGCCGGCTGCGAAATATTTTTGGGGCTGAAAACGGGGGGTATTTGCCGGCCAGGGCCACCGGAACGAACGGGCGCTCGGATGGATATTTCGCCCGTTCGCCCGATTTTCTCACTTTTTTTTGCGAACGGCTCGATTGGATAGCCGCAGCGACGAGGTATACGCCAAGGAAAGAAGGAAGAAGGAACTGGCGGGATCAGAGGATTTGGGTCGGCTCGAGAATGTACACCAGTTGCATCCAAGGAATTGTACCGTTGAGTAGCTGCATTTTTGCTTCTAGAGATTCGTATTTTGGATGTAGCGATCAGAAAAGACTTTATAGCAAACGCCTCGAACTCATTCCAAGGCTTTGTATTTTGAACTCTACTCGGAGGTTGGAAAGATGCTTGTAAATCCGTGTAAAAGTCTTGCAACTTGATCACTGCGTGTCATCCGAAACACGCCCGTCCACCCTCTAGAGGCCCAGTGAAGTGTCCGATTTATACGGTTCGAGGTATCCATCCAAACTTCTCGGAAGGCAAAGCATTGATTTCTCAATCCAATTTTTGAAACCCCCGGAATCTTTGATCGGTTGTCGGCGTTTTTCATGTAAAAATTACAAACCTTTTCGAAAAAAGAGGTTCTTTAGCGCCATCCAAACGTGTTTTCTCAAATGGTTCAAAAATGCTTTGATTTAGTTTTGCGTGCGTTTATCGGAGCCTTTTTGCTTTTGTTCACCAAAAAAATTTCGATATTTTTTGAAAACCCTGTCACTAGAAATACCTCAGCAATTCGGTCGTTTTCCCAGAATTGGCCACGATATCGTAATTGATGCGAAAATCGGGAAATCGGATTCGACAGCTGGAGGGGGATGGTGTTTTACTGCGCGCCCTGTTGAAGTCTTGCACTCAACGCCCTACAAATTTATCTGCAAAATTTTATTAAAAGGCCAAATCCGTATATGCCGACATCCAGATCCGTTTCCGGTAACCTTCAAAGGAACGCGTAGCAGGCCAAAACTCGCGCAGCAAGTTGGTACCCAAGGGTGATGCCTAAAAAAAGCCGGGGTCGAAATAGTGCCACGCCGACCCGCGTTCGGCCAACGCAGAGGCGCTCAAAAACCCGGAAGCTATCCTGGAGACGACCTGAATCGGCAGGTCGAACAGCAACAACTTGCCCGACTGGTCAAATCCGGAAAAATGCTTTGGGTCCTTGTCAGAGCGTCAATGAGTATGCAAGACCTGGGCCTAAATGAGGCAGAACACTTGCGAAAATAAAGGATCACACCGATTAGTATGAAATCCGAGCCATTTCGTTTCGGGAAGTTCGCATCCCCGGAGATGTGGGCTTTCTCGTAAGCGTGGAAATGTTGATAAGCTGGCTAGAATAGTCGCCTCTTGGCAAAGACTTTCAAAGCTTGACTGCTTCAGCAATTTGTTTCTTTTCAATTATAACCGTTTGGCCGTTGAGGCTCATTTTAAAAAATGGCACAACATTTTCTGTTAGTAAGCGGCGCAGAAGCATGTGCATCCAGTACGTGTTGTTACGGATTGGAGTCTTAGTCTGGACTTTCGTCAGACTTTCTTACTCTAACTTTTTGGAACCTTTAATTTTTTAACACCCCGAGCAGAAACTGGCTAAAGGATTATTTCCGCGTTCAATAGCCCAGGCCCCGACTCGAGTTTTCTCTCATTTACTAAATCCTAGCCGGCCGATCCAAATGTGTGGGCGTCAAGATTGGAAATCGAGCGGCGGCTATCCGTCAACTTTTCTCGGCAAGCCCCATCCTCCCCGCGAAAACTGAGAGAATTCCCTGCCAAGGCGGAGCCCCAATTTTTTTTATCGTATTTTCGGATCTAAACAGTCATTGACTTTCTCGGGGTTGTTTTCGGGGGTGAATCATCGAGTTTCCGGGTCGTTTGCCGATTTAGGTTTGTTAGGTATAAAACGGGGCTATAGTTAGATCGGATGCATTTTATCGCTTCCGGTTTTTCCGGAAGCGGTAGTTTTCTAATTAAATAACTTTGGAAATTTTGTATTTATCAAAGATTTACATTTTTCCATTTTCGCTCTCATTTACTAAATTTTTCTAAACCAATCGAATTCCAAACTAAAAAAACACAAGCTACATTTTCTGATTTTGATCTATCAGAATTTAGCTTCGTTATCAGATCCGCTTTTCACGTTCATTATTGTTTCTTTTTCGTTTTTTTTTGCGTTGTTTTGGTTTGAAAAGTTTTTGCCTTGTTTTTAGACGTATTTCTTACTGTAGAGCTGTCGATTTTTCAATGAAATAATTTCCAGAATGCTCCGATCAGCCTGTGTCCTACTGCTCGGCCTCGTTGCCGTCACTTCCGCCGGCGAATATTCCGTCGGTGTTGAGGGTGTCTTGATGTGCAACGGACAGCCCTACGGTGATGCTAAAGTACGCATCTACGAGGTGGACACGCGTGAGTTTTTTGTGTGCGGAATTGCCAACTTTGGAATCATCAATAATTTGATAGCAGCACGGAATTTTTTATAGTAAATTCGAGGCGAAATTAATTAAAAAAGTAGCGGTGCTTTTTAGTTACTCTAGGTATCTATTAACTTTTCATTTTTCAGTCCACGACGACAAACTCGCCCAAACCTTCTCCAGCTCTGACGGCCACTTCCGCCTTGGCGGCCACCAGTCCGAGCTCGGCGGCATCTCCGCCAAGCTGAACATCTACCACAAGTGCGAGATGCCAGCGGTAAGTTGTACTTAATACGCAGTATATTATTTTTTTACTGTATTATGCATTTTTTTTGACTTTTATACTCGATTTCAACCGAGTTTTTTTAGTGGAAGCGCATCCTCCCGATCTGCTACTACAAGACGACGTTCCCCATCCCCAAGCGGTACATCCAGTCTGGAAATACCCCCAATGAGGTAGGGCTTTCAGGGCCAGCTAGCGGAGATTCCAGAGGAATCGAAGAAGATTTATATTTTGTGAAGGATCGATGAACTTTTATTTTTAGTTCTACAACGTGCAAACGATCGAGCTCTCCATGCACGCTACCGGCTATGACTGCATCAACCTCCTCCGTTAAATTTGTACAAATTAGCTGATTTTTATAAAAATAAAGATTTCTATCTGTACGATCGGTAGTTTTTGAACGGATGAAGTTGCTATTTTGCAGCTCATTTTGTTACGCTACCAGCCAGATCCTGATAAGAATTCAAATCGAATGATTGCAGCATGATGATCTATCTGCGTTTTCGGCAAGATGACGTTAGTGCATTAATTTCCCCCTACCAGGCCGCGAAAATCGATCGTTTCAAGATCTTCAAGTTTCGACTAGATAACTTCACATCAAGATTCGTGAGCTAAATCCGACATTAGACAGCTACGATACCGACAGCTAAAATACCGACAACCAAAACCCCGACACCGAAATCCCGACAAGCATAATCCCGCCAAAGACGCAAATAACCCTTCTGTATGGGTTCCGGCTTGTCTATTTAGATGGCCGATCGGACCATTGGTAGTTCGCGTCGATATCTTGGATGTCGGTATTTTAGTGGCGCTGTCTCGTGTGGCCGTATTTTGGCATTCAGTGCTTTACAAACTTCCTTGCTATTTCACGCAAAACAGCGTACCTAAAGTTGAGGATAATACCATGCTTTAAAAAATTCGATCTGTTGTTTTGTTTGGCCGCCTCTTGATCAAAACAGCCTTTCTTGGTCCACGTTGAGCACGATTTATCAAAGAAGAAATCGATAAGAGGATTAAATGTATTCGATATATAAATGTTCTTTGCGTAGTGAGATC